CTCCCCCACCCCACCCCCAGCTCTACACCTTGTTATATTAGTGAAACTTGATGGGTTTTACAACAATTGACAATGGTTACATGGCTGCCATTAGATTAGCTTTTAACTCCTTTTACTGAATTCATTATCTGCCATGGTAGGATTCAAATTCATGTTCCCAGAATACTTGTTTGGGGCTCTGGATTATTCATCTAGTGGTATTACTATGCCACTATCTCCCCAAGATGCATAAGAGTGCCACAAGCTGTAAATACCCCTCCCAAGTCATTCACCATCATGACTTGTAACTTTCTTGCAATTTCTTCATTGCCACTGGTAAAAATCCTGGAACTTGCTTCGCAACAACACTGTGGGTATCCCCAGACCTCCAGGACTCCAGCAGTTCAAGAAGGCCACCACTTTAGCAAGGGCAGTTGGAGGTCTTCAATAAATGCTGACCTCAGCAGTGACAACCACACCCCATTTACAAATAAAGCAAAAGGTTGATTTGCTGTTACTATCCTTCTCAGATAGGATCTGCAGGGCCTGCTTGGTTTAGCATAGAGGAGGAAAACTATTGGGAGGTCTGATGAGAGGAGGCTGTTGTCTTAATCAAAATGTGATTTTTTTTTTTAATAACAACTGGGTGCAGGTTACTTTGGTATGATAGAACTTACTACAAAGGCTAAGGGAGACTTAGAGAGTAGGTCTATCTCCTTCGAGATCCTGAGTTGTCACTCTTCCCAAGTTCACATGACATATTCACTGGGCAGTGCTTAAAGCACTCCTTAGCATTAACCTTTTCAGACCTTAACACTTTATACAACAGCTAGGTTTTTTCATGTACTTGATGTAAATGGTGCCCATGGATGCCAACTTCTCTGCTATTGCACATTTTTCTTCACTTCAGTTACATTTGAAAATGTTTGTATATTTGACCTGGCATGGGTTTGCATGCTTGTTTTTTTTCAATAAAAACATCATACCCTACCCCTTTTTACCTCCATTTTGTGAAAAGTTATACATAGTATCTTTTGAACAGATTATCTGGACAATGGCAATAACAAGATGGCTATACAGCAAGCTGACAAACTGCTCAAAAAACACAGGGACCTTCACTGTGCAAAGGTAAGCAAGCATAACAATAGTTTTCTGAATTGGATTGCAATATGTAGCCCTTTTCATGGTTGCATGGCTTGAGGCATGATTGTAATGTTAATTGTTAAATTAGCCTGTCCGTTTAAAAACAGAGTTGAAGCTTTCCCAACAGTTCACTGGTCTAAATGGTTCTGCTGTAAGTTGCGAGTTTCACTTGAGGTGACATGTTTTGATTATTCTCATTGTTTTATCTGGTTATTTCTAGATTTAAAAAGACAGTAAATCATAGAACAGTTCAGTTCTAATTTAGTAGTGTACAAGGTGTAATAATATTGAAATTACATGGTCTTCTGTAATTTTATGGTACGTCAAATCTGATCACGATACGAGTGTTGCCCCACTTATTACAGAGTTCATTATTCCATTTGTGAAATTATGCCCTTTTGAGGGGATGGATTATGATTGTTGGACAAAGGCAGATTCACAGTTCATGTAGAGTTCAGAGATAGTAGGAACTGTCGATGCTGGAGTCTGAGATAACAAGATGTGGAGCTGGAGGAACACAGCAGGCCAGGCAGCATCAGAGGAGCAGGAAAGCTGAAGAAAATTCTGATGGAGGATCCCGACCCGAAACATCAGGTTTCCTGCTCCTCTGCTGCCTGGCCTGCTGTGTTCCCTCAGCTCCACACCTTGTTATCATATAGCGTTCAGTTGTTAATGAGGAAATTGGAATATGTTTGACTAACTAGTAGGAAACAGCAAGTGGGGATGCGGAGTTCTTTGTCAGTTTGGCCAGTGGCATTCCACAGAGATCAGTACTAGGGTTGCGGCTGTTTACAATATATGTTGATATGTGTACGTGTCAGCAAGAGTAGGAGTAGGAGGATTTGGGAGATGAATGCGCAGCTTGAGAACGAGTGCAGGGGACAAGGATTCAGATTCTTGGATCATTTGGTTAGAGGTGACCTGTGCAACAGGCAAGGGCTGCACCTGAAATGAAGGAAACCAATATCCTGGAAGGGAGATTTGCTAGAGCCACTTGGGAAGGTTTAAACGAGTTGTTTTTTGGGTGGTTGGGGTGTTTGAGATCCAAAGCAGAAGAGAGATGAAAGAAAAGGTTGAGGACAGTACAGAGGTTAATGAGAGCAATTTAAATATCAAAGGCAGTGTTGGTAATCCAAGTACTAAACAGGGCAGGCAAGAGCACAGCAGGAGGCAAGGGAAGTCTGTGTTAAACTACATTTATTTCAATGCAAGCGGCCTCACAGTTAAGGCAAATAGGCAAATGAATTTGGGGCATGGATGGGTACATGGGATTGGGATACTATAGCTATTACAGAAACGTGGCTGAGGGAGGGACAAGACTGGCAGCTCGATGTTCTGGTGTACAGATGCTATAGGAAGGATAGAAGCGGAGGCAAGAGAGGAGGAAGTGTATTTTTGATTAGGGAGAACATCATAGCAGTACTGAGAGCAGACATTCTTGAGGGTTCATCGGATGAATGAGTGTATGTGGGTAGAACTGTGAAATAAAAAGAGGGTGATCGCTTTAGTAGCTTTGTACTATAGGCCCCTCAATAGTCAGTGGGATATTGAGGTGCAAATATGTCAGGAATTCACAGATAACTGCAAGAATCATCGGGTTGTAATATTGTGGATTTTAAATTTCCTGACTGATTGGGATTCGGTGTTAAGGGCTTGGATGGAGAGAAATTTAAGAATTTACAGGAAGAATTTCTGGTGCAGTCTGTAGATGGCCCTATAGAGAAGGGGCAAACTTGACCTCCTGTTTGCAAATAAAGCAGGGCAAGTGACAAGTGTTAGTGCTGGAGCACTTTGGGACCAGTGATCATAATTCCATTAGCTTTAAAGTAGCTATGGGCAAAGATAAGTCTGGTCCAAAGTTTGAGGTTCTAAGTTGGGGCAAGGCCAATTTTGAAAGTCTTAGATGGGAACGTTCAAAAGTTGATTGGGGGAAGGCTGTTTGCAGGCAAAGGGATGTCTGGTAAGTGGGAGGCTTTCAGAAGTGAGTTAAGGAGCATTCAGGCCTGGCATGTTACAGTGAAGGGTAATAAAAACTCAAAGAACTGTGGATGCTGTAAATCAGGAACAAAAACAGAAGTTGCTGGAAAAGCTCAGCGGGTTTGAGGAAGAATCACTGGACCCGAAACGTTAATTCTGATATTTTCTTCACAAATGCTGCCAGACCTCCTGAGCTATTCCAGCAACTTCTGTTTTTGTTGTGAGAGTGAAAGGTAAGCCTGGCAGGAGTGGGGAGCCCTGCATGACTAGAGTTATTGAGGCGCTCATCAAGAAAAAGAAGAAGGCATTTGGTTTGTCTCGGAAGCTGGGATCAAGTGAATTCCTTGAGTACAGAGGGTTTTGGAGTACACTTAAGAGAGAAATCAGCAAGGCTAAAAGGGGACACGAGATATCTCTGGCAGATAAGGTAATGGAGAATACAGAGGACATGAAGGGCAAAAGAGTAACCAGGGAGAAAATAGGGCGTCTTGAAGATCAACTATGTGTGGAGCCACGAGATGGGTAAGATCCTAAATGAAATTTCTTATCTGTATTTGCCTACAAGAAAGGGAACTTGGGGAAATAAATAGTGATGTTTTGAAGAGCATCCACATTTACAGAAAAGAGGGTGCTGATGGTCTTCAAGCGCATCAAGGTAGATAAGTCCCTGGCACCCGCCAAAGTGTATCCCAGGACTTTGTTGGAGGCTAGGGAGGAAATTGCGCGAGCCCATGTGGAGATATTTGTATCATCGGCAGCCACTGGTTAAGTGTCATAAGATTGGAGGGTGGTTAACATTGCACCATTATTTAAGAAAGGCTGCAGGGAAATTCTTGGCAACTTTAAACTGGTGAGCCTAACGTTTGTGCCGAATCAACTAGCCCTGAAAATGGATGGCGCTGGGGGTAAATTGTTAGTGGGGATTCTGAGAGACAGGATCTACAGGCATTTTGAGAAGAAAGGACTCATTTGGCTTTGTGGGTGGGAAATCACGTCCCATGAATTTGATTGAGTTTTTTGTAGTCTACGTAGACTTTAGCAAAGCCTTTGATAAGGTACTGCATGGTGGGTTGTTGAGTGAAATTAAATCACGGGATCCAGGGAGAGCTGGCCAATTGGATACAGAATTGGCTTGTAGGTAGAAGATGGAGGATGGTGGTGGATGGTTATTCTTAAAATTAGAGGCCTGTGATCAGTGGTGTGCCGCAGGGATTGCTGCCAGGTCCACTGTTATTTGTCATTTATCTAAGTGATTTGAATGAGCATTTAGGAGGTATGGTTAGTAAGTTTGTGGATGACATCAAGATTGGTAGCATAGTGGATATTGAAGAAGGTTATCTGGGAAAGCAGTGAGATCTTGATCGACTGGGCCAGTGCGCTGAGGAATGGCAGCTTGAGTTCAATTTAGATAAATGCAAGGTGTTGCATTCTGGTAGGTCAGACTAGGGCGGAACTTAAACAGTCAATGGTAGGGTCCTGGGGAATGTTATAGAATGCAGAGATCTAGGGGTACAAGTTCATAGATTTTTGAAAGTGGAGTCACAGGTAGACAGGGCAGTGAAGAAGGCTTTCGGCATGCTTTCATCAGTCAGAGCATTGAGTACAACAGTTGGGACATCTTGTTACAGGTCGACAGGACATTGGTAAGGCCACATTTGGAGTACTGATTGCAGTTTTAGTCACCCTACTCTAGAAAGGATACTATTATTCTAGAAAGAGTGCAGAAAAGATTCATGAGGATGCTACTTCAACTAGAAGGTGAGAGTTACAAAGAGAGGCTGGATAGGCTGACTTTTCTCCCTGGAGTGTAGGAGACCTTATAGAAGTCTATAAAATCATGAGAGGCATAGATTAGACAGCCAACAGCTTTTCTCCATGGCAGGGGTGTCTAAAACTAGAGGGCATTTATTTAAGGTGAGAAGGGAGAGATACGAAAGGGTCCAGAGGGGCAATTTTTTTCATATAGAGGGTGGCGAGTGTCTGGAACAGGCTGCAGGAGGTAGTGGTGGAGGTGAGTACAATTTTGTCATTTAAGAAACATTTGGACGGGTACATGGATGGAAGAAGTATGGAGCAATATGGACCAAACACCAGCAAATGGGACTAGATTAATTGGGAAAACTGAGCAGCATGGACAAGTTGGGCTGAAGGGCTTGTTTCCATGTATAAACTTCTATGACTCTCTTTAGAACGACGAAGGATGAGAGGTGACTTGATAGAGGTGTACACAATGATCAGAGGTATAGATAGAATGGACAGCCAGATACTTTTTCCTAGGGTGGAGGTAGCTATTACGAGGAGGCTTGTTTTAAAGTGAGTGGAGGTAGATATAGGGGAGATGTCAGAGGTAGGTTCTTTACTCAGAGAGTGGTAGGGGCGTGGAATGCATGCCGGAAAGGGTAGTGAAGTCGGCCTCATTAGAGGCATTTAAGCGGCTATTAGATAGGCGTATGGATGATAGTATAAGGTAGGGGTGGAGGTTAGATAGACCTTAGGTTTAGGGTAAAAGTTTGGCACAACATCGTGGGCCGAAGGGCCTGTACTGTGCTGTACTGTTCTATGTTCTATGACTGTATCACTCAGGAAGAAAGTGAAAGTACACTCGCAAAATTTGCAGATGACACTAAAACAGGCGGAAAGGCAGATTGTGAGAGGGACACAAACACTTGAGAGAGATATTGATCACTTCAGTAAGTGGGTGAAAAGTTGACACATGGAGTATAATGTGGGCAAATGTGAAGTCTTCATTTTGGAAGGGAGAATAAAAACGCTTATCTAAATTTTTTAAAAATGCAGAAAGCTGCAACACGAAGGGACTTGGGGGTACTTGTGTACGAAACACAGAAGTCAGGCGTAGAAGTGCAGCAGGTAATCAGGAGGGTAATGGAATGTTGGCCCTTATTTCAAGGGTGTTGTGGTATAAGAATAGGGAAGTCATACTACAAATATGCAAGGTGCTGGTGGGACCACATCTGGAGTACTGTGAGCAGTTTTGGTCCCTTTATTTAAGGAAAGGTATTATTACGTTGGAGGCAGTTCAGAGAAAGTTCATGAAGATGATTCTTGGTATGGAGGGATTGTTTTATGAGCAAAGGTTAAACAAGTTGGGACTCTATTCATTGGAATTTAGAAGAATGAGTGGTGATCCCATTGAAATGTATGGGATTCTTAAGGGGCATGATAAGGTAAATGCTGAGAGGATATTTCCCCTCGTGGGAGAGTTTAGGACCAGAGGATATAGTCTCAGAATGAAGCGTGCCAATTTAAGACCGAGATGAGGCATTTCTTCTTTCGGAGGGTTGAATATCTTTGAAACTCATTGCTACAGTGAACTTGTATTTATTTGAGGATGAGTCCTTGTGTATATTTTTGAGGCTAAGATAGATTTTTGATCACTGAGGGTTATGGGGAAAGGGCAAGAAAATGAGTGAGAAGAATGTTGGATCAGCCATGATTCTATTAAATGGCGTAGTAGGCTCGAGGGGCCAAACAGCCCACTCCTGTTGCTATTTTTTATGCTCTTCTCATTTTCAGACTACAGTTTAGATATTTTGTTTGTTCTCGAGCCAGTCTTTCCAAATGCATTTTTCATATAAAAGTACAGTTTTTCAGTTAGTTAAAATTGTAACGAGCATGGTTACTGTTGATGTTACAGAATATGAACAAGGTGTCTCCTAGGATATCAATGGCAAATACTACATACTTGGCAAATAACTCCCATTCTCCCTGTTCCTCTTTTGACAGAAATGTTGAACAAATAGCTTTTGAGTAACCACATTTGTGATATGATTTGTTACAGATTTACCAATATGAGTAATTTGATGTCATGAATTAAGAATTTGAGAATTAGAACTAGAATTAGATTTTGTCATGTGCACTCAAGTTTTGGACTACAGTGAAAAATGTACAAAGTCACTATTCTCCAGCTCCTTCTTGGTTACTAAAACCAGAATTGAAAACCAACAGAAATAAGAGAAGCAGAGCCAAAAGGAAAGAAGAATGTCCAGATCTAAACAAAGAAATATATCTAGATCTTAAAGTCCCATCTCAGTATAGGTGTATGGAACACTGAATTAGAAATGCAAAGTATTGTCAAAAGTTTCATTTGTTTTCCTCCCTGCGTCATTGATACCAATATGCAAAGTGTACCTAATGACAGGTGCAATAACTGTTAATGTAGAATCTTTATTTCCTTTTGTGTTCTGACCAATTAGGTCCTAAAGGCAATCGGTTTGCAACGGACAGGCAAACAAGAAGAAGCATTTGCTGTGGCACAGGAAGTAGCTGCACTTGAACCCACAGATGACAACTCCTTGCAGGCTCTCACTATTCTTTATCGTGAAATGCACAGACGTAAGTTATCTCCGAAGGATGGGTGGAGAGAGGAATGAACAAGGGCTACTTGTAAATCAGCTTACTGAAAATTAATTTCCTTGATGATCATTGTTAAATTTATGTACCCACCTGAGATCTGTGGGTTTTCTAAAAAAAATTTGAAAATGAAACTGAAATTACTCAAATTTGTTTGATAATGCTGATCTGTTCCAAGACATCCACTAAATAACTATCTATGCAATTTGTCCAATATCTGGTGTTGGTGTGTTATGTGCAGAGCCTTTTGGCTTCTACCAAGGAGTAAGGAAATTCTCAGAAAGCAACTGTGCTTAACTTAAATCCCATGGGCTAGCATTTGGTGTACTTAGCATATAGTGGACTGATGAAACTATGCTAGGGTCCTTTTAACACATAATTACTTTTATGACGATATCTGGAAAGCTGAAACATAACTTCAGTGAAATATCCAAAAGTTTGTAAATCTCAACAAGGAGTTGCAATCTCCATTAAAGCAATAGCAGCCCACAGTGGCTGATTGAACATTCTCAACATGAGGTGCTGCTGTTGCACAATTTTAACAAAAAACCTTAAATGTGGCAGAACATTTTCGACAATTTTATATTTTTAAAAAATTGAGCAACTGCATCTCTGAAATAGATAAAAAAATTCCAAAATAGAAGCATGCAATAACTACAACATAAAAAGAAACCATTTGTCCTGTCAAGTTTTAGCTGTCCCCCGAAGGAAAAACTCAGCTCCCCTGTCTCTTCCCTGTAGCCCTACAATCATTTTCCTTTTCAAAGAATGATCCAATTTCTTCTTGAAAACCTCAGATGACCCTGCCTCCACTCTTGCAGGCAGTGGATTCCAGATCCTAATTATTTGCTATGTGAAAAATATTTCCTCAAATCACCATTGCTACTTTCTCAATGATCGCAAATTTGTGTCCTCTAGTTTTTAATCCTTCCATTAATGGGGCCACTTGCTTTGAATTTACTGTATCCAGCTCTCTAAGTGACTTTGAATATCTCTGCCAAATCTCCTGTCAACCTTTTCTTCTCCGAAGAGAACAGTCTCAACTTCTCCACTCTTCCTATGTAACTGAAGTTCCTCAATCGTAACCTCACTTTCATGAACCTTTTTTGCACCCTCTAACATCTTGTCATCCTTGTTCAAATGCAGTGACCACACTGGATGCAATACTTTTGTTGAAGCCAAACAATATTTTATACACAGTTTAACATAATCATCTTGCTTTTGATAAAACCCAGTATACCATTTGCTATATTAACCAACTTTTGAATAGATTTTGCATGCTCAGTATGTTTTAATAACATTTCCAAGTTACTCTTTTTCCATGCCTGCTTTAAGCCTCAACTGAAGAAATTCTTTTGGGTAGTTCATGCTGTTGTTTCTTCCCAACCTTTCACAAAGTAGAATCTGTGATGTGACACATCCTATCATTTTTCTTCAGTGTTTCTACTCGTTATATATACTTGCTTTCCAGTACCTCGTGCAATCCCTTCTTCTTGTGTTGGTTCCTTTTGAGACCATTGTAGCCAAATGTGATTTTCTAATGTTCACACGCCTGTACTTTCCAACTTTGACCACTTCATAGAGGACACCAGTAGGAATTTTCCTCCCTGCAGCAGAGGTATTAAATCTAGTTGCAGTTACTTGGATCAGATAACTCAACACAAATTTAGGGTTGAATGTGAAGCCGAAAGAAACAGTTGCTGTAAATCAGTAACGAAAATAGAAATTGCTGGAAAGCTCAGCAGGTCTGACAGCATCTGTGGAGAGAAATCACAGTTAACGTTTCGGGTCGAGTGACCCTTTCTCAGAACTGAAGTTCTGAGGAAGGACCACTCGACCCGGAACATTAACATTTCTATTGAATTTGAAGCCTCTGGCTAGACACCTCGGCTATTTCTGCTGAAAATTGAGTTGACTGTAATTTTTATGTGCATTCGGGATATATTGTTGACAAAGCGAGCATTTATTGTCCATCCCTTATTGCTGTTGCTGAGCAGCTTCCTTAGAGAGGAAGTTTCAGAGAGAAGTGAAGAGTCAACCACATTGTTGTCAGTCTGGAGTCTCTTTGGACCCGACTGGGTGAGGACAGCAAATCTTGTTTGAAGGGCATTAGTGAAGCAAATGGGTTTTTACAATCATCATCATCAATTTTCTGGTGTTTTATTCCAGATTAATGGGTTAGTTCATCTTTAATCCATCTTTCTAGTCGAGTGGGATTCGAACTTGTCTCTCCACTAATTTAGTCCTGATTTCTAGGTTGCTAGTCCAGTAATAATAGCATTATGGTACCATCCCTTATAAAAAATATTTACTGTACATATTTTGTATGAAGTTGTGATATGTTGAATTTATTTTTCAGCTGAGCTGGTTACTAAGCTATATGAGGCTGCTGTGCGAAAAGTCCCAAGCAGTGAAGAGTATCACTCGCACCTCTTCATGGCATATGCCAGGGTTGGAGAATACAAAAAAATGCAACAGGTATTATTTGTACAGCATAAAATTAATTGTTCCTGTAGCAAGCAAAATACAGTTTCGACTGGCAATTGATAGCAAGGTAGAATTTTGTAGCATTATGAGCTAAACTTCCCTATTCAGACTTTTTCATCCAAATCAAGGCAAATTGTCTGAAGTTAATGTCAGTTTGAGTATAGATTCCATTAAAAAATTAATTTGTCATTTATTTTCAGATTCTGGTAGACCATGCTGTGCATTTCATATGTTTCTGTCTCCTGTCCTATTTGTAAAAGTGACATTTTTATTTCCTAAATTTTTCCTAGTCCCTGTATTATATAATAAAGATATAGTTTTGTAAAAACATTGAAGAGATCTATGTGGGCTTGACTGGGAGACTATTGTGTAACTAATCAGCCTATTCACACAGGTTAATGTTAATCTCTCTGGCAACTAAAGTTGGCGGAATGCACTCTGCCACTACTACGTGGGTCACAAAACAAAAATGCTGTGCCAATTACCAAGGTGGCCGATAAAATAATCTTTTTATTTAAAACCTGATATAAACAAGTTATCAACTGCATTTCTGTAATAAACACAATTAGTTGTTATCAAAACAAAACCTATAAAACAAAAACTTGTCAGGCAGTGTGTATCTAGGCAGGTTATGGAAAGATACAATAACAACAGGGTTGTCACAGTGGGTGATTTTACCTTCCCCAGTATTGACTGGGACTCCCTTAGAGCAAGAAGCTTAGATGGGAAAGAAATTGTTGAGTGCATCCAAGAGGGTTCATTGAAGCAGTGAATAGTGCAACAAGAAGAGGGCCATACTGGACCTTGTATTGGCTAATGAGCCTGGCTGGGTGCCTGACCTTTCAGTGGGAGAGCATTTTGGAAACAGTGATCACAGCTCCTTAGGTTTTGAGATAGCTATGAATAAGGCTAAGTCAAGACCTTGCTGGGAGGTGCTAAATTGGGGGAGGGCAAATTACATCAGTATTCAGCAGGAACTAGGGAGTGTTAATTGGGAGGAACTGTCATCAGACAAGTCCACATTTGATATGCAGGAATTGTTTGAAGACCTGATCAGAGTTCAAGACCGGCATGTTCCAGTAAGGAGGAAGGACAAGGATGGCAAGTTAACGAACACTTGGACAATGAGCGTAGTTGTGAATTTAGTCAAAAGGATAAAAAGAAGCATATGCAAGGTTTAGGAAGCTAAAATTGGACAGGGCCCATGAGGAGTATAAAGAAAGCAGGAAAGAACTCAAGCAGGGAATTAGAAGAGCAAGAATGTGCCTTGAAATGGTCGTGGCAAGAAGGGTTAAAGAGAATCTCAAAGCATTTTATAGATACATTAAAAAACAAAAAGGATAGCTAGGGAGAAAGTAGGACCACTCCAGGATAAAGGAGAGCACTTGTGCTTGGGGGCGAGGTTGTCAGCAAGATCCTAAATGAGAACTTGCATCAGTATTCACCCAGCAGAGGGATACGGACGATAGTGAGATTTGTGTGGAGCATGCTAATATGTGAGGGCATTTTGAGATCAAGAAAGAAGTGGTGTTGGATCTCTTGAAGAGCATTAAGGTGGATAAGTCCCCAGAGCCTGATGGTATCTACCGGAGGTCATTGAGAAAGGCAAGAGAGGAGATTGCTGGGACCAAGACCAAGATCTTTGTTTCCTTGTTAGCCACTGGAGAGGTTCCAGAGGATTGGTAAGTAGCTAATGTTGTTCCTCTGTTCAAGTACGGAAGTAGCAGTAGTCCCAGAACCTACAGACCAGTGAGTCTCACATCGGTGATTGGGAAGCTATTGGAGAGAATCCTTAGGGATAGGATTTATGCACATTTGGAAAAGCAAGGCCTAATTAGGGACAGTCATCATGGCTTTGTGTGGGGCGAGTCGTGTCTTAGTAATTTGATTGAATTTTTCGAGGAGGTGACAAAGGTGATCAGTGAGGGTAGAGCAGTGGATGTTATTTACATGGATTTTAGTAAGGTCCCTCATGGTAGCCTCATCCAGAAGATTAAGATGCATGGGATGCATGGTGACTTGCTTGCATGGATTCAGAATTGGCTTGCCCAAGGAAGATGGTGGTGGAAAGGTATTTTTCAGGCTAGAGGCCTGTGACAGGTGGTGTTCTGTTGGGATCTGTACTGGGACCTCTGCTGTTTGTGATCTGTATAAATTTTTTGGATAAAAATGTAGATGGGTAGGTTAGTAAGTTTGCAGATGATAGAAAGATCAGTGGAGTTGTGCAAAGTGTAGAAGGTTGTCAAAGGATACAGCAAGATATAGACCAGTTGCAGATATGGGTGGAGGAATGGGAGATGGAGTTTAATGTGGGTAGATGTGAGGTGCTGCAGTTTGGGAGATCAAATGTTAAAGAAAAGTATACAGGTAATGGCAGGACTCTGAACAGCATTGATGTATAGAGGGATCTTGGGGTTCAAGTCCATCGCTTCCTGAAAGTGGCCACTTGAGTAGATAGGATGGTAAAGAAAGCATATGGTATGCTTGTCTTTATTAGTCGAGGAATTGAGTACAAGAGTCAGAATGTCATGTTGCAGCTTCATAAGGTTTGCAGGTAAAGGGATAACTGGAAAATGGGAAGCCTTCAAAAAGGAGATAACGAGAGTCCAGACACAGTATGTTCCTGTTAGGGTGAAGGGCAAGGCTGGTAGGTGTAGGGAATGCTGGATGACTAGAGAGATGGAGGTTTTGGTCAAGAAAAAGAGGGAAGCAGATGTCAGGTATAGACAGCAGAGATTGAGTGAATCCCTAGAAGGGTATAAAGGTAGTAGGAGTATACTTAAGAGGGAAATCAAGAGGGCAAAAAGGGGACATGAGATAGCTTTGGCAAACTGGGTAGAAGGAGAATCCAAAGGGATTCTACAAATATATGAAGGACAAAAGGGTAACTAGGGAGAGAATAGTGCCCCTTAAAGATCAGCAAAGCCGCCTATGTGTGGAACCGCAGGATATGGGGGAGTTAATCATCAAGTATTTTGCATCAGTATTTACTATGGAGAAGGATATGAAGGATGTAGAACGTGGGGAAATAAATAGCGAAGTCTTGAACAATGCCCGTATTACAGAGGAGATGGTGCTGGACTGCTGAAAGTGCATAAAGGTGGATAAATCCCCAGGACCTGATCAGATGTACCCTCGAACTCTGGGAAGCTAGGGAAGTGATTGCTGGCCCACATGCTGAGATATTTGTATCACCAATAGCCATAGGCAAGGTGTGGGAAGACTGGAGGTTGGCTGATGTGGTGCCACTGTTGAGAATGGTGCTAATGAAAAGCCAGAGAACAATAGACTGGTGAGCCTGACATTGGTGGGTAAGTTGTTGGAAGGAATCCTGAGGGACAGAAATTGCATGTATTTGGAAAGGCAAGGACTGATTAGGAATAGTCAACATGGCTTTGTGCATGGGAAATAGTGTCTCACAAACTTAAGTGAGTTATTTTGAAGAAGTAACAAAGAGGATTGATGAGGTTAGAGCAGTGGACGTGATCTGTATGGACTTCAGTGAGGTGTTCGGCAAGTATCCTCATGGTAGACTGGTTAGCAAGGATAGATCACATGGAATACAGGGAGAACGAACCATTTGGATACGGAACTGGCTTGAAGGTAGAAGACGGGGGTGGTGGTGGAGGGCTGCTTTTTAGACTGGAAGCCTGTGACCATTGGTGTGCCACAAGAATTGGTGCTGTGTCCACTGCTATTTGTCATTTATATGCATGATTTGGCTGTGAACATAGGAGGAATGGTTAGCAAGTTTGCAGATGACAGTAAAATTGGAGGTGTATTGGACAGCGAAGAAGGTTACCTCAGAGTACAACGGGATCTTGATCATATGGGCCAGTGGGCCAAGGGGTGACAGATGGAGTTTAATTTAGATAAACATGAGGTGCGGCATTTTGGAAAGGCAAATCAGGGCAGGACTTAATATATTTAATGGCATGGTCCTGGGGAGTGTTGCTGAATAAAGAGACCTTGGTTTGCAGGTTCATAGTTCCTTGGAAGTGGAATTGCAGGTAGACAGGGTGGTGAAGAAAGCATTTGGTATGCTTGCCTTTATTAGTCAGTGCATTGAGTATAGGAATTGGACGGTCATGTTACGGCTGTACAGGGCATTGGTTCGGTCACTTTTGGAATGCTGCATCCAATTCTGGTCTCCCTGCTATAGGAACAAGATTGTGAAACTTGAAAGGGTTCAGAAAAGATTTACAAGGATGTTGCCAGGGTTGGAGGTTTTGAGCTATTGGGAGAGGCTGAATAGGCCAGGGCTATTTTCCCTGGAGTGTCGGAGGCTGAGGTGTGACGTTTATAGAGGTTTATCATGTTACAAGGGGCATGGATAGGATGAATAGACAAGGTCTTTTCCCAGGGTGGGGGAATCCAAAACTGGTGGGCATAGGTTTAAAGTGAGAGGGGAAAGATTTAAAAGGGACCTAAGGGGCAACTTTTTGACACAGGGTGGTGCATGTATGGAATAAACTGCCAGAGAAAGTGGTGGAGGCTGGTACAATTATAACATGTAAAAGGCATCTAGATGGGTATATGAATATTAAGGGCTTAGAGGGATATGGGCTGAATACTTGCAACTGGGACTGGATTTGTGTATGATATCTGGTCAGCATAGACAAGTTGGACTGAAGGATCTATTCCCATGCTGTACATCTCTGACTTTCTGACTTACAGCCTTGGCCCATGTAATGATTTGTGTACAGGTACAATCAATACAAATTTAAATTGAAGGAAGCAAAAAAAAAAATTTGCCTAATCAACAAAGATGATTCACTTTCATACTTATTTGTTTCTAAGTGTCCACCACTATTTTCTTGTAATTATTCTGTTTCCTTCTGCCATGAATGCACTGACATCAGCTAAATGGGTGGACATCCTTTTCTGATGTCTTCACCAATTCTGTTTTTGTCACTTACCTGGAGAATGTGTGATCATATATATGCTAAATGCCCATCCTATCTATTTATTTTACCACAGAGAAACGTAAATGAAATCTGAACGCTGACCCCACCCTGTGCCTTCCAGAATAATTTGGGGGAGCCAGTAGTGTGGTGTTCATGTCCTTGAACTAGTGATCCAGAGCTGTAGCTAATTCTATGGGGATTGTTTTCAAATCTCACCATGATTGCTGTTGACATTTAAAATCTCGAATTAAATGCTCGATTCAGTGTTTGTGATGATCAAACAATTATTGATTGTCTTAAAATCCCAAATAGTTCGTTAATGTCGATTAGGAATAGAAATTTGCCATCCTTATTTCATCTGGCCTACATGTGACTCTAAGCTGATTCTTAAATGTTCTTTGCAAAATCCCAACAAGCTAGTCAGTTCCATGAAGTTAGAGATGGGCAACAACTGATGGCCTTGCTAGTAACTCTTACATTCCTCTCAAAAGCACAGTTGATTCCAGATGAACAATGTTTGCTAATAAAATGAGTTTTTTAAAAATTCATTCATGTGATGTGGGCATGACTGACTGGGCCAGCATTCATTGCTTAACCCTCGATGCCCTTGAGAAAGTGGGTAGTGAGCTGCTTTCTTCAGAAGCTGTAGTTCATTTATCTGCAATGACATGACTGTAAAATTGTTTTTTATGTTGTGTATGTACCAATATCTGTAAACTTAACTTATCATGAAACTACTTATTTGCTTTAGGCATTTTTAATTGTTCAGGGTATAAATTTCTTTTCCTCCAGTTTCATGCTTTGGTTTTGTATGTTCAATGATGATCAAATTCAAATGTCTTCTAAGGCATTTTCCAGCAAGGATCACTTGTTGACATGAGCCCTAATTTGAAGGAAAATATTCTGTATGCTGCAAGTCCATCAGTGCTGAGAATATAGAAACATGATATCTTAAAATAACTTCTTACCTAATGCAATGATTTATGTACAAGTCAAGTTGATATAATTTTAAATTTTAAAAAAATCAAGAAGTAATCATTGATTTGCTAATAATCAATGCAAGCAAGAGTCAGACTTGATTTAATTCATCCTGGAAGTGTGCCCCTGAGGTTTATTGGAATATACTGAAGTATTTTGCTGAATTTTCTCTTAGGCTGGGATGGCACTTTACAAGATTGTTCCGAAGAATCCGTATTACTTCTGGTCTGTGATGAGCCTGGTTATGCAAGTGAGTGTGCATGTTAAAACAAAGATATTAATTGCATGGTAGCCAATAATGGATTTTTAAAAATGCGTAATACCAGGAAAAAGATTTCAGACGCTCCTAGGGATTGGATTAAACATGTTTTGTTCAGTTAAGTTAATTGATTTCCAAACCTACTAGATAAAATAACATTAGGTACTGAGGATCTGAATTGGTATAAGCGAAATGAATCCTCCTTCAGCAAGATTGCTTAAGCTTTCTCTTGTATGATCGGGCAGCCTGCAAGCTGATTGTGTTTTGATTCAAAAATATGCATTATCATTACCAGAGGGATTCATTTTGCCAAAAGCAAACAGCCCATCTGCTCCACTGAAATTTCTAAGACTGTTAGCGATTATTTAAGCAAGACCTAGTTGTCCAAGTACTCAAACCTACGCCATGATTGCTGTTTAAATTCACACCTTGTTAATGCGGCTGAAAAGATTGTTGTTGTATAGTGATACAATATCGTATTTGTTGGAATGGGGGAATTTTTAAACTTGCGCTACCGATTGAATTACTGGCTAACAGGTCTTGAGATACTGTGGATTTAAGAGGTGTATTTTGTCCTGGGCTTTTTTTTAATGAAGAAAGGTTGAGACAGAGGTGCCGATCAGTCCGCTCAAACCAATAAAGTAAATGGCTTGTGAGTCCTTGGGGTTTTTGTTAAAGTTGGAGCAATAGAAGCATCCTGAATAGGTGGGGTCAAGCTCCTACAGAACCAATATTTTTAATTTTAGCTTTCAGCAGTTGCTGGCGTCTTGAAGCTGGGTTGGAAGCTCCTATTCCTTTCTCTGTTACATAAAAGCTGGGGTTTTCTTCCTGCTGCCAGAATTGAATATGAGACAATCTATGTTACTGAATTTGCTTTTACCAATGGTGTGTTTTTGGGATGTTTCTATATTGGAACAGCTTATTAGTAGTAGCTAATACATATATTATTTCGTTAAGCATTTCTATAGAGTGACAGTTAAGCCAATTCTTTTATTTGTATTTTGTCTGTATTTTAACTGTAGTGTGTGAATAAAATGTGTTTTGTTTCGAGCCTAGTTGTTTGACCAATTGAATTGCATCTGGAACACAATGCCTTACCCTTACCTTTAAAATAAATAAAAGCTACAGTCTGTACTATTTTCTGAATATATTTTGAGGGCGTTTGGCCTGGTCCATAACACAGGGCAATCTTCAAGATGTTAGATCATAAAGTACAATGAAACTATTGCAATTGGAACGTAAAAATACGGGCATCTTGCTACACTTGTACAAAGCTTTGATAAGACCATACCTGAGTACTGTGTGCAGATTTGACTGCCTTAGCTCTATACAAGATTCTTGGGGGACTTGATAGGGTAGATGGTGCAAGGCTGTTTCCCCTTATGGGATAGCCTAGCACCAGAGAGCATAATTTCAGAACAAGAAGTTGCCATTTTAGACGAAGAAGAGGAGGAGTTTCTTCTCCGAGGGTAGAGCATGCTTTACCACGGAAGGCTGTCAATGCTGGATCATTAAATCTATTCAAGGCTGAGGTAGATTAAATTTTTAATTAATGAGAGAATCAGATGTTATGAGGAGATGGTGAGCATGTGGGGTTGAGGATTATTAGATCATCCATGAACTCATTGAAAGGCAGAGTAGACTCAGTGGGCTTAATGACTTGCTTCTACTCTGTCTTCTGATCATATCTAAGAAAACATGTACCTGCCCTGGAGACAATGCAGCAAAGGTTAACTAGATTAGTTCATGGAATAAGAGGGTTGTGCTCGGTTGAGAGTCTGGGTAATTTGGGCCAGAACTTTTTCTGGAATTTAGAAGCATGAGAAGTGATCTAATTGAAACATGCAGAATTCTGATGTGACTGGTCAGGATAGACATTGAGTTATAGTTTCACCTGGTTGGAATCTCGAACGTAAGGACCTAGCCTTAAAGAAAAGGGCCGATAATGTAACCGAGATAAGGAAAAATTTCTTCAGTCAAAGGGTTGTCAGTCTTGAGGATTGTTTACCCCAGAGGGATGTGAATGCTCCAGTGCTGAATATATTTAAAACTGAAATAGACTGAATTTTAGTATCTGGATATCAGGAGCAAGGGGAAGCAAGGCTGATGGGCTCCATCATCTATCCCTCCAATTTCTTATTTTCTTAAAATTCTTATTGTTTACAGTCTACTACATGGATTTATATCACTTGGCAATTCTTTCTAAATTTCCAACTATGACTTCTGTACTTTTTCCCCTGGTTCAGCGCCAGCACTGTTCATCTCTGCTTTCTTCTCTGGAGTTCCTTTCCGTAAACTTCTCTATGTTCAAAACCTCTTGAGAACCCAGCTCTTGGACCAAATCTTTCAACATGTTTCTGAAGTGAACTCCTCCCCTCTCACTTTCCCCTCACCCTCTCCAAATGGATGAACATCAAGCTTGTTGCAACGTTTTCATTCTTCATAAAGATGTAGCTCCTCATAATGTGCTTGTTCACGGGAATTGAACCCAGAATATTTCTACAGCAGTTCGATAAAGGGCAGTGAGAAAGTTACCAGGATTAGTAATTATGAAGACTAATGACGGCAGTATCTGTCTCCTGATATTAGGTGACAGAGACAGGTGATGGAGGCTACTTCAATTGTGTGAAGGGTGCACTTTAACCATTCTGAAAATCTGTATCTATCTCTTGACCTTTTTTGGATCATATTTTTGTCTTATATAGTCTATTTCAGCACAAGATGAAAAATTATCGAAGACAATGTTCCTCCCCTTAGCACAGAGAATGGTGGAAAAAATGGTAAAAGAAGACAAGATTGAGGCTGAAGCTGAGGTAAGAAAGTAGCAATTTCCCAAGCTGTGACAATTGTGACATGAATCACAACATTGCGACAAGAAGTGTTATTGTCCATGTATTGTTTTGCTTTGTTTTTCTGGGACTTTTGCATAGTGATTTGTGAGTGAATATACTGGGTGGTTAGTTTTATTTTAGTTCTCTCCCTAGCCCTGTTTTTGTCTGGCATATGATGAGCACCAAAACAAAAACGGAACCCATTATTAAGTTTTTAGCAATTTTTCTTTTTCGTAATTTGATGTAATTTAGCAAACCTGTTCCCAGTCTTTGCACTTTTACTCCTGAAAAGACATGAGGATTACTTACTCCCAATCTGGGGACACTACTGTCGTAGTTAGCAATCAGGAGATGTTGGAAAACAGTCATACTTGTTTCTCTTCTCCCACTGGCCCTGCAGTTTTTATTCAGTTCTGTGTGTCAGATTAGGGCCAAGTAATTGAGAAGCAAATCAGACTCATTGCTCGTTTGTTTTTTGCCCCTTAGTGGTTTTTTCAAGTTTGGGGAGAAGCTCTGAAGGTTATAGCTCATAAAACTTCCATCTCACTGGAAGACTGCAGTAATTAGTAAAAGTTTTGAAATCAGTGTGTCATCTTTGCAGTCTGCATACATGTGATTCCTGTCATGTATTTCACTGTTTTTGTCTTTTATAATAGGTGCAACTCTACTTAATGATTTTGGAACGACTTGGAAAAGACCAGGAGGCTCTTGAAGTTATCAGAGGAAAACTGGGAGGTAACATCGAAACTAACTTATTGCAAGATTTTTATGTAGAAATACAGTATATTTTTCCATTTCCCTCCTCATCGTATTCTCCGAAGGATATAATTGCTACAAGCATGGGAAGCCTCCCAGTTCTTTGTGCATTGAATCTGAAAAGTACGTGAAGGAACATTTTCAACCATAGATAATGCGGATCGCTTAGGTCAGTTGACTGGGCAGCTGGTTTGTGATGTGGTGATATCAAAAGTGTTGGTTTAGTTCCTGAACCGGTTACCATGAAGGACTCTCCTTCTCAACTTCTTCCCTCACCTTGAGGTATCATGTCTCTCCGTTTAAACCGCTGCCCTATCCTACAGTTTGGTAAAACTGTGGTGACTTCACCTTTATCATAAAATTGCTGCAGTGCGGAAGAGGCCATTCGGCCTATCGAGTCAGCACTGACCTTCTGAAGAGCATCTCACTCAGATCCACTACCCCCCAGATAACTCCACTACTGCAGTGTGACAGTTCCCAGTTTGTATTTTAACAATCTTATGATATCCAAGTGAGATTACCAACCTAATGCTGTGTAATGGTCAACTCTGAGGACTCATGCTCAATGGGAATTAAAATGTGCATGTCCAGTCTCAGCCTCTTTGGACTCTTATTACTAGTAGGTTTCTCAAGACTCTGTTTGATGCAGAGAAAAATTGTTTATTTACATTGAAATTCTGTTTTTCTCCTCAGAAAAACTGACCAGTGAGTTACAAAGTCGAGAGATGAAATGTATGGTGCTGTACAAGAAGCTGATAAAATGGCCTGAATGTAATGCACTTTCGAGGAAGCTTTTAATTCACAAGTAAGAAGGTCCTGATTAATTTAACAGTATTCCTAAAGGGGAAGTGTATCATCTTCTGCCTTTCCTTGCTGTTCTTTAGTCAGAAGGTTGGTCAATTGTGCTGTTTTTGTAAAAGTGTACCCTGAAAAGTAATTGGATTCGAAGCAGAAGAGTTAGCAGTTCTTAGTACCATTGGACTGGATTCTGAATATGGAGTTTCCAGGTCCTATCTGTACTAATTTCTGATTTCCCTCAACTTTATGCCTTTAGAGGAACGACTTCCATGGACATCACTTGTCCACTGGCCGTTCACGTTAGTTGTGGCATTTTTTATGACCCATGTAGTGAATGCTGGCACGCTATTTGTGGTGGACGTGGCAGTGCCCTCAGCTTGCATCCATGCACCTGTGGTAGGGATTGTTGTTTATTGATCAGAGTAGAGCCTCAGCTACTTTTTATGCTTGTACAGGGCTGTGGCCAATTGTAGCTGCCCAACAGCTACTGCAGTTCAGATTGGCTACAACTAATCTGGCAGCAGAGAATTCTCACATGGTGACTTCAACCTTATCCTTGACAGTTTTTAAGTTATTGATAATAATTTGATTATCTGGGATAGGGCATCTTTAGTCATTATGGTACTTGCAGAGAAATTCACATGTAATGATTTCAAATCCTACTATATGAAGTGAGAAATTCAACCAGAAATGCTGTCAAACAACATTTTCCAGATTTTACGAAGTCTCAACTGGTTTATTTGTGCCCTTCCGTTCCACCTTGTCTCACCTACATGTGAGCTCGGGTTGGTTCTTAATTTGCTCTCAGGTGCCCTAAGAAGCAACCCAGTTGTAAACAGTTACATGTTCAGTCATTGAATTCTGTAATCCCAGAAGTTGTGTTAGTGTCTGTAGTATACGCGTCACTCTTGATCATGGTTAGGTCTTGTATATTCACAAAATAATAGGAAATCTCAAATGAGCAGGAAGGGAATCTGTCAATTACAAATTAACAAAAAAAAAGTGTTATTTCCTGCTGGCTGCTGTCTAACTCATTATGAAGCGTGAAAGAACGTGGCTTCAGTTGAGGCCAAATGTACAAATGGAATAATTGTCAGCTGATGCTCAGTTTTATAAGGTTACATGTCATCCATGTAATGAGCAATGTATTATAGTGATCAATCTTAATTGTCCCTCAAGGTCACAAAAACTGTTAGGTAACAGACTTGAGTAATTTAGATTTTAATTGCTGTTTGATGAAGGAACTTTGAAAATTTGAAGGTAGTTGTGTATTGACAGTCTCAGTTCTAGAGTGTAGAATATGTTATGATTATTGTATTTAACACTGTTGTACTAGTATTTACAAATGACATGTCTTGGATCTGCTAGTTGTCTCAAACCTGAAGATGCAGCATAGACTTATGATTTGTTCTTGCACCTGATTGACTTAAATGTATCAATTAAATAACACATCATAACCCAACAGAAAGGGAATCTGTTAATGACCAGCAGCCTTTTGTTATTATACTAGACTTTTCCTGCTTGCTTTTTTTTTGGAACTGGGAAACGACAGCCAGCCTAAAGGTGTGCGATCCTCAGCAAAATAAATTAATCTTAACGAACTTCAGCACGTGCTCATCTAAATAATTGATCATATATAAAGATTTTGTTAGATGTATAGTAAATGGGTCTGCTGTTCTTTTCCAGCCCAGATGACTGGCAGTTTTATATATCATATTTTGATTCCCTCTTCCATCTGATTGATGAGGCTTGGACACCACCTGCCGAAGCTGAGCAGTAAGTTTCTGATTTTCCTTCTAGAATTGTATTTCTGGGAAAGGAACTAAAATGTTGCTGTGTTGTTTATTTCATATAATCTCCATAGATTTCTATCAGAATGTACATTTGTCTCCCTTCTGCTGAAAACAAGTGTTTATGCTCTGCAATGTATTTGAATAATCTTTATTGTGTGACAACGTATGGTTGTATTTTTAAACAGAACAAATTTCCATTACACTCCAAGGTGGTATAAAATAATATTTCAATTATAATCATACAACGCATGTGTCTAATATTACCCTGAAGAAACTATAAAGTGACATTATATAAAGTATACCACCCTGGGAGCATGACATTGCATTGGGCTATTTGAAAACACACCGTTGTGTTTCAAGTCGCATTGTGCTGGGAAAGTATCTGGTTGCCATACAAAAAATATCAATATAACTTTTCTCTTAATTGATAAGTTGCTTTTACCTTTTCAAGTTTACAATCCCCTGTCAACACCATGGCAGATACATGTTGTCCTCTAACTAAGGGATAGTGTTGATCAGCATTACTTCTGTCACAGCTACTCCATGAACTGAAATTGTGCTCGTGGATAGAACGGAAACTAGACCTACCAGTGCATATTTCTATCCAGCGCTGGCCATTTTCAACTTTGTTAATTTGCGTATATGTTATCATACTCGTTGTTCAGCATTCAGTCCAATCTATCTTTTGAATGCTTCAGTTGAATCAGAAGTCAGGTAACCTGCCTATTGTATTCTTTCTGTTGTCACAAGAAAAGTTTCTCAATGGCCCGTTGTAAATTCAGAAATTTGCACGTGGTGTACAATCCTGCTTAAATGTCTAGAAATCCCTTTCTGCTGAAGATTTGGTATGATTTCTTCATCCTATTTGTTTCCAATAACTATTAGCAAATCTGCCCCCAAAACAGTGGTCAGACACATAAGAGCAAGCCCCAGTTAATTTTTATTGTGCAGTGCCAGGAGCATAACCACATTCTTTGTTTCACCTAGCTGTCCAGAGGGCCCAGTCACTTGTCTTGTACAGGAAGCCATATCCTTTGTGGAGGAGCGAATTTTGAATGAAGAACCGAAGGGCTCCCGTCATCTGAGGGGACCATACCTGGCTAAACTTGAATTAATAAGGCGGCTGAGAGAGAGGGGTACAAACGATGAACACAAACTTGGTGCGTGATTAATAGTTTACTGAATGCAAGTTTGTCAAATTGTCAACATATTAACTTATTGTTATCTTGGGGAGTGAGGAGAGACAAATGTCTTTACACACCGTATTGGAACATGGGGTACACCAGCCATAAAGGAGAGAAATTTTAACCAGTGTGCCTGTTCCTGCTTCTCTTTATTCTCATTAGAAAGTATACATCCTGAGAGGACCAGTTTGAGTTTAGTTGTGATGCCCTCCATGATCAAATAGCTTGTTGATACCCAGTATCCATGTTTGTGACTCTAAAGATTGTTTTGGTACAAGACGGTTTTTAATTCTATGGAATGTTGTACTGCAGGATGGATCAAGTTTTCAGATAGAAAAAGAAAGAAATCACTTTCACATACTGTCTTACATAGCCTCAGGACATCCCGAAATGTTTGTCATTCTGTATTCCAATTACTGTTGCAATGTTGGTAAACATGGCAGGTAATTTGCATAGAACAAAGTCCTACAAGTAACAGTGAGATAAATTACTACATGACATTGACAAGGACACCAGGCGAACACCACTGCTTGGTTTAACATCTGAAAAGATAACATATTTGACAATGTAATATTTTCCTAGCACTGTGCTCATTTCTGAAATAAGGCTTGAATGTGCAAACACTTAAAATATTAATGCTGATGAAAGGTTACTGAAAATTTTGAGGAAGATCCTTCAGCATTTGACAGTGAAGCTCTTTCACGCTGCTTAATTTGGCACGTCATAAGGTCATCAAGTTTATTCAGTGGGCCATTGGCCCTTCAGATCAAAGGCCGAATTCCAAATTAGTGCTGAGTTAGCTGACTGGAGTGGCAGTGTAGTATATCTAAATGTCCTTCTTTGGTAAGTCAAATAATTAAATACTGGAAATATTTAAAGAAGAGGTAGATTTTTGAAATACCAGGGAGTTGAGGACTATGATAAACTGGTATGAAAAAAGGAAGCTTGGGTCAGATCAGCCACATGGAGTGACAGGGCAGGCTTGATGGACCAAATGATCTACCCCTGCCTCTTTCTTATGTTCTTAATTAGTAAAAACATTTTGTTCCATTTTCACCAGATGGACAAGGACATAGTATTTTCAAGGCATTTTGTGTCTCTTTTCGTAAGATTTCTCCTCATCCAACTTTTGAACAGTAATTCCTTTAGAAGCAAATATTCTGCTTCAAGTCCATAGATGAAGTCTTCACCCTTCTCAGTTTTTAGTCTGTTGCCAGTTTCTGTTTGAAAATGCCCCCCCGAACCAGCAAGGTGGGCCCTGATTTGTTGCATCATTGGCATTTCCAACCATGGAACAGCCCCTTGGTTGTGCATTGAATCTTGAGTTTTGATTACACACTCAAATCCTGTAGTAGGATATGGATCTACAGCCTTCAGACCAAGGCAAATGAGCCATGATGCTCGACTATTAAGTTAAAGGTTATGCATACTGAAAGACTGCCCTAACTTATAGTATTGGGCATCATCAATTTGGGATTCACTCCTACATTTATCCACTGTGCATTTCTCCTTATTACTGCTAGGAATTCCGGAGGATCTGATGTTCCAGTACTTTGAGAGGTTTGGGGACAGGCCTTGCTGTTATTCTGACCTGAGAATCTTTGTCGATCTTCTATCGCTGGACCGGCATACACAGGTGAGACCGGGAGACTGACAGAGTCTTCATTCGCTCAGGCTGTGCTGCAGTGAGGTGAGTGGGTAAGTGCACCCAGTGGCCTCAGCATTTAGTTACTATTTGCATTGCTTGTTGCCTGTTGATTTGTAAAGTTAGGGACAATCAAAAAACATGTAACCATAAAATCAGAATGAAGGGAATTTGGAAAAGTTTCTAAACCCAAAAGATTTTTTCAAAAAAGGTTCTGCTCCAGAATGCCAGGATGCAGGATCAATTGGGAAAATTTAAAATAAGACTTTGTCATATCGGGGAAATTAGGTCATGGAAAGAGCAAGCGAATTGTGTTTGAAAAACGCTGGAACTGTGTTAACTATCATAATGGTGGAGTGGGGGCAATAACCTTTTTTCTTTTTGAATTCTTAATTGAAAACTTAAACTGTAGAATAAGTGAGCAAGAGTTCTTTACACTATGGTGTAATACAGTGGTAAATTGGCACACTACCAATGTAGTGTTTCCACTAGGGCCTGAAGAATATAACCTGTGTATTTTGTTCATTTTAAAATGTAGAAAAGACCCAACAAAACAGTTATTTTGCTGAAGTGAAATACTCAGTTGCCTAGCTAATCATATCACATAAGATTCTCATATCAAAGTTGATTTGCCTATGGATTCTGGGTATTCAAACCTTTAGATATTGCAGTAGGCTGTCTTAGTGAAATTTCCCACCATTCTGGCACTACTTAGCATTACTTTGAGCTTCATTCCTATATGTAATTGTTTCCTCCCATTCCAAAGTTTGTGCTCGCAAAGAGCCAATAAACCACTTGAAACGTTGAAACGTCAGTCAAGCCCAGTCTATCTTTTGGTTTCTTTGAAGTTGGGTCTTTGTTCATTTCATACACAGGTTACTTTATTTTAAAATCAACATATTTAAAATAATTTGTCCATCAAAGAAAAAATCTGTTTGTGCATTGAATTAATTAGTTTCCAATATCAGAGCGTTGCTGTCAGGCATGAGCATTCTTGCTTGGATATGAGTCTTCAGTTTGCTATTTAATATTGACTTTCCTCTCTCTATGAAATTTCTGTTATTTCATATGCAATTCTTTTGTTGTCTAGAGTTTATTTTGTGTTCTTTTGAAGATAGACTTTGGCTGTCACTCTGGACCTAGGCATTACTGTATTTCTATCCCCTTTTCCTCCTCCTGGCTCTTCCCTTCACTGGAGTCTTCAATCTTTCTTGCTTTCCCCTTTCAGACATCCTATTAAGTAAGCTTACACTTGTCGTAAGTTCTTTGTCATTTTTCAATGGGCCCATCCTTACATCTGTGAAGCACTTGTTGTAATTTTTCCATCTTCCTCTATTTAGCTCACTGTTTTGACAGTTTTGGTTGTGATGGGATTCGAATCAGCAACTCATTAAAGACTGGAGATTAAATCCATAGCTTTAGACTACTTGACCACAATGCCACTAGCTCACTGTTCTGACTATACAAATTGAAACTGTTTCCCATGTTGTCACTTTGAGTGCATTTTTAGAGGTAATTTTTCTTTCCTCTTCCCATTCTCTGCAATTATTTCAGTTTTTCCTCACCTTAGTTTCAGTTTTTTGTTAGGATCTGGGTCTTAGAATGTTGCTAATCCTTCCCCCAGACCTAACCTTTTGGGAAAATAAATTGGCAGACAGCACTGATGCTTGCACTCTTTTGCTGACTGGGGAGAAAGATCCCTAAAATGATATATTCCGCTCCACTTTGTTCTTGCTTGACTAATACCAGTCCTTGTTTTTACCATCCTGTTGGAAATTGGCCAATGTTGTCATGGATCAATGGGAAATTTGAATATCTGCCATTTGGTGTGATTTGAACTTCAGCTGTAGTTTGCAACATATGAATGATAGATTTACTAAAGCAAAGTACTGTGTGTGCTGGAAATCTGAAATAAAAGCAAAATACTGAAACCATTCGAGTCGAACATTCATCATCTGTGGAGAGAGACAGTTAACATTTCAAGTCAGTGACGTTTTGTCAGAGGTGGGGAAAAATTGAGAGGCTGAACAGGTTTTTAAGCAAGTCAGGCAACGGGGGAAATGGAATGTAGAGGAAGAAGAAGAAGAAGAAAAGGAAAGGTCTGTGATAGGCTGGAAGGAGAGATTAAATGAGAAAAAGGATAATAGCACAAGTCAAGTGGAGATATTAAGATGACCAGTGAAGAAACAATAAGTGAGTCTCACGAAGGTGGAAATGAGAGATAGCAGAATGATCAGCAACAGCTGCCATTCCAAAAAAAGGATCAGTAGTTATGATTTGAAACTGTTGAATTCACTGAGCCTGAAATGCAATGGTGCCTAATCATTGATGAGATGCTGTTCTTTGTACTTATCTTGATTATCATTGGTAGAACGTAGGGGTTTGATGTCAGAGTAGTCAAAAGTGACAGCAATATGGAAACTTAAAATGAGAAGCAATTGGAAGCTTAGGGGCACACTTGAAAACTAAACATAGTGTTCTACCATGACCTGATCTGTGTTTGGGCTTCCTAATGTGGAGGAGACTACATTATGAATAATGAATACAGTATACTAAATTAGAAGAAGTACAAATAAATTACTGTTTTGCCTGGGAAGAGTGTTTGGGGTACAGAACAAGAAAAAAATAAAAGGTCTGATGGTACAATTCCTGTGCTTACTTGACATGGTGCACAGAAAAGAGAGTAGGATTGATATTGGAGTACACCAGGGTCTTGTAGAATGAGTGATTCTTTCAGAATGGAGGGAGGGACACTTATTTGGTGGTGTTTTCGTTGTTACAGATGGTAAAAAGGATTGCTTATGATCCAGTAACATTGGTGGATGTTGAGGGCGTATCACTGTTCTGAGAATGAGGGGCCAGGTTGAGAACAAAGGATAAGAGGTGTTACGGACACAGTCGTGGACCTTCTCATCTTTAGTGTAAAGAAATCCTTGGTTGAAAAAACAAGTAAGAAAGGTCAGAAAGCATTGGTGTGGAAGATGACGATGCTAGAATAGATTTGACGGCTAATGGGGAATGGAATAGAATTTCTATGTGAGACAGGGTGGGAGAAAGTGTAGTCAAGGTAGCTGTCACAGTTGTTGGGCTTAGTATCGGTTGATTGTCTAGACCTAGAAATGGAATCAGAGAAGTTGGAGATGGGAAAAGTCAGATGTGAAGGCATGGGGAAAAGTGGAAATTGGAAGCAGAGTTGTTAGCATTTCCCTGTTCAAGCCAAGAGCATGAAGTGGCACCATTCAAATCATTGATATTCCAGGGTTGTGAGAAGTCCCATATAGGGCTAGAACAAAGAATGTTTCACGTCTTCCAAAAAAGATAGAGCAGGAATAAGCCATCTGGCCCGTAGAGCCTGTTCTGCCATTTGGTAAGATCATAGCTGATCTTTCCATGGACTCAGCACTGCTTACTTGCCCGCTCACCATATCCCTTAATTCCTTTGCTGTTCAAAAATCGATCCATCTTTGCCTTAAAAATATTCAATGAGGTAGCCTCAACGCTTTACTGGGCAGGGAATTCCATAGATGCACAACCCTTTGGGTGAAGAAGTTCCTCCTGAACTCAGTCCTAAATCTGCTCCCCCTTACTTTGAGGCTATGCACCCTCATTCTAGTTCACCCGCTGGTGGAAACAACCTCCGTACTTCTCTCTTATCTATTCCCTTCGTAATTGTTAGTGTTTCTGTAAGATCCCCTGTTTTTCTTCTAAATTCCAATGAGTCTTGTCCCAGTCTACTCGATCTTTCCTCATAAGCCACATACGTGGCTGACCCCCAAATGGCAACGCATTTTATATTGGGGATGTGATTGGAGTCAAAGGACAAGCTGTTCAAAAGGAGAACATGTTTAGACAAGTGGAGAAGTGGTAGTAAATGGGTCTGGTTGCATCTTTGTTCAAGGAAGAACATAGCTCCCAGGCTGTCTGAGTAGGAGAGGCGGGTGTAGAGATTGAATTGCCCATACTGATGAGCAGGTGGGAGCCAAGCAGAGGGAACAAGAAGAGTTGTGGATGTAGGTTAAAAGAGACTGGACAAGAGATTAAAAAAGAACTGTGATGGGAAGAAATCTGTTTTATGGAACAAGAACAGACTGAAATGATGGATCTGCTAAGCCATTGCACTTTGTGGATCTTGGGAAGAGGATGGGAGTGAGCTATCTAGAGTTTGGATCAAAGTTAGCTGGAAGATCTCAGAGGAGATTGTGTTAGTGACAGATAATATTCATGATATGTTTATTGATTATATATTTTAAGTGTGAAAATTGCTGTTTTTGTTTTCTTTGCAGTTTATCAACAAATTGATGGAGGTAGTACCTCTTTCAATATCAACAGAGAGTGATCTTGCATTACCAGGTGATGTCAAAGCCATGCAAAGGCATATGTTTGTTGTTCAATTTGCTCGATTATTAGGCCTTCACGAGACCATGGACCAGACACAGAAGCTCAGACTTGTTGAAGAGCTGATGCAACGATACAAACATGCCTTAAAGTTTGGTAAGTTAGTTTCCCAGCAGAATGTGCTACACCCTGTTTTATCCTGAAAGATTTTGAGGTGTTTGCTTTCCCTCTTATAGATTGCAGACAGCAATTTTTTTAAAAAGTTGATTGTTTCCTCCTAATGTGTAATCAGAGACCTAGATTTAGAGGCAGATCATGGATGTTGCTAATATTTAACCAACTAAAAACTATACAAATTATCAGCATGGGATATTTTTATCTTTTGCTCTTGTCATACAAAAGCCCTCTGTCCATTCACTCATTCGCTTGCAGAATTATCTGGTGCCAAATAGGAGGAGTCTCAGTTGCTTTTTGTGTGTCTCACCAATCAAGTACTGCCAGCGAGCCAGGCTAGCCAGTCAGTGAGAACCTATGCTACTATTAATTTCTCCTGTTATTCACATATATGAATAAAATTAACTGCAAAGTAGTGGGGTTGTTTTCAGTATCCTGTTCTCAAATACATCATTTTGACAGCAGTTCGACCTCTTACTTTCCTCTCCTCCACCCAAAGGAGAATTGGTCATTGGTTGGCCCCTACTGCATCTCCTGATACAATAATGAAATCCATTTTCTAAACTCAAACTCAAATCCACATGTATTTATCTATCTTATTGTCCATTGATAGAGCTAGAAATTAAATGCACAATGAATGTGAAGTAGATCTTTTATTTTAAACAATGTGAGTAAACTCATTCAGAATAATTGAAGCATTTTCTAATTGGAAAACAATTTTAACTATGATCTCAGTGAGCCCTAATGAAGTGTCAATATAATGATTCATATCTCAGTCCCAAAATTTCCTTTACTGCCAACTATTTGACTTCCTCTGTTAGCTGGCCTACAGCATCTGACTTTGTCAGTTGTCTTAAGTAGGAAACTGCATTTTATGATTTTTTTTTTATCCTGAAAACATACACTGCACTGAATATAGTTCCATGCAGACCAGTAGCCCACTAAATGTTTGCAAGCGACTATTCCCTGTTGAATTTAGATGCAGCATGTTTGACTAATTGACTTGACAATGATATCCTTATCTTGCCATTACCTCATGTTCATACATGCAATTGATGCCTATTACAGAGTGTAAGTGTTCAAGTGAAAATTCAGTGTATTTTTCCCTCTGTAGAACTGGTTGCAACTATAATGGTTGCAACCCCATTCCAGTTGGCATCAGTTAATTCAGCATGGCCTGGGAATCAAAATTGGAATCTTTCTGGTCAATGTGGCTCAATTGTGCCTTTGTTGCTGACTGAACATTTGCTAGAACTGATGAATAATTCCTAGTGCATATCGTGAGGACAGCTTCACACTGCACACCTTTTTCAAACACTAACATTGGGTCACATTTTGTTGTAGCAGACATTGCTAAATACCTGCCATTGTTAGATTAGCCCTTGCATGTTTTGGGCTTTAATTTTTTCACATGGCAAGTTGTGGAATGTACAAATGGATTTTTCATGTCAGAAAACCAGGCATCTGGAACCTGTGTGAGTAGAGCAAGCAGCTGCAGGTCTCCTTAACCAATCAGATTGAAGTAATGTGATTTTAACAGAAGTGTTGAGAAGGAAGTGTAAATTATTTTATGGGTGAAATAATTGTCAAATCAGCTACAGAAGTGAAATAAAGAGAGAAAATGTGTTCACAGAGAAAAGAAACAAAAATGTGAAAAAAATGTAAAAGATTTTATGATCAGATAAATTCTGAAGTACTGGGATGTGATTATTATGAGAGATAGCAAGAACTGTAGATGCTAGAGTCAGAGACAGCACAGTGTGGAGCTGAGGGCACACAGCAGGCCAGGCAGCATCAGAGGAGCAGGAAAGTTGACATTTTGGGTCAGGACCCTTCTTCAGAAGTGAAGGGTCCTGATCCGAAATGTCAACTTTACTGCTCCTCTGATGCTGCCTGGCATACTTGTATCTATATTTCTTTTTAGCATCAAAAAGGTTATTTCCCAGTAATTATCTCTTAACACATCACGACAAAGGTACTTAAACTGAAATGAACAAGACTCAACTGCCGCTGCTAAGTTTAATTCATATCATGGGCATAGATTTGTAGAGAGAGAATTTATAGGATAATGGGGACAAAGCTAAGTTATGGGATTAATTTGGGAAGCTCTTACAAAAGCAGATGCAGTGGACAGAATGGCCTGTCTTGTTGCAAGATTCTCTGATTCTTTCTGTTCTGCAAATGTAGGACTTCAGTGCCGTTCAAGTTGTTTCAGTGTTGAACCAGATAGCAAGATACTATTTCACAATGAGCGAATCAGCTCAGACAGGAAAGTTTTTATTTTTGAGTTTGACAGCACATCCTCTCACCTGGAAGCTTCTTTCGTGAATTTACACATGAATAACGGTCAATATCTCACTGTTGTTTTGACAATTTAATCTGAGCCGGTGTTCCTCTCTCTGTATTTAACAGTTTTTTGTAATAGTTCAACGTAATACAACACTGTCATTTTCATTTCAAACGTATACACGCACAGGTATAGTGGCAGCAGACTTGCCTCTGACCTACTTCTAAGTCAGTATGTTGTGCAGTATATTTTGCGTACTTTTTAAAGACTTGTTCTGATTATGTTTGTTAGGAAAGTCGTGCTTGAAAACAGAGCTGCAGTTCTCTGATAATTATTGTCTCCTTGCTGTGCACCTTCTTCTCGACATCTGGCGACAATCAGGTTAGTGGTTTCCTCTTGAATCTAAACCTGTAACACGAGAAAGTACATATTCCCAGGAAAATAAGACATCTGTATTTGAAACAAAAGCCAAATACTGGAAATCTGAGGAAAAAACAGCAAGTGCTTATGTGACTGTGGAGAGAGAAATTCGACTTTTCAAAACTAACGTTGAATTCTCCAGAACTTTGTTTTTATTACAGTGTTTTCAAACTGGTTAAACATGGCCACAAAACGCTAATAATTATTTTCTTTTGCTAACTTAGTTGAAAAAGCTGCAGTTGCTATGCTAATGTTGAAAAACACCCCTTTTGCGTTTAAAAACGAGCATGTTGCAGATTTCACAATGGTGCATTGCATCAGTATATCAAAGCACAGAGGAAAAAACAGAATCAGTACTCATTGTCCATTTCCTGTTTTGATAATCTCCTTTACTGTAGTGTGAGGAGAAGGCAAGTGGACAACAGTAGCTTTCTCACAGCACATGCAAATTGTAAAATACGTTTTCTGAGAAACAGATTTCAAAGGCCAAATCATGTACTGCAGGATGTCATACTTCTTGAGAAGTGTAAGAAAGGTAATGAGTTAAGTTGAATAATGGTCATGTGGTAATAGTTCAAGTTTAACAGTTTGAACCTCACAAGAAGAATGAAAGGAGGAGATGAGGTGAGGTATTCTACAGTTCTGTGTATTTAGAAAAGAAGGAATTAGAATTGGAGATGGTGCATAAGTCTTCAAATCAACTAACCGACACACGTATGTCAATTTTCGTTCCTTCTAAAATTGAAAATACACTAATACGTTTAGAGTGATGTCAAGCCACTGTTCCAAAGGCATTATCTAATTAACTGTAGGGTGTGTATGAATTGGCAAGATCTGAGCAGAGTGGGGAAAAATTAGGGATTTATAGTCCTCAAAAGAAAATGTGCAGTGAATTTTTCTTTCGAATGACTGATCAGATTTGATGAGTAGATCATGTAAACATTTTGAATTGGGTTTTTTGGGAGGAGAAGTAAACTGTAAAGATGTCAAAGAAACTCGCCGCAGTGGTTTTGAGCAAGTCATCTGATAGCATGGGTTTAAATGCTATTCACTATTCATACCTGTTATTGACTGGATTTGTGAACTGGTTTTGCTTAATACCTTTGTTTGCTAATCTTGCAGGTGAGGAATGGCCACTGTGGCGGTCCCTAGCACTGCTGGAGGAGAGCCTCTCGAACAGCCCCTCGAGTGCTCAATTCAAGCTGCTACTCATTCGAATTTATTGTCTGCTGGGAGCTTTTGAACCAGTTGTAGACTTGTACACCAGTCTTGATGCCAAACATGTGCAGCACGATACAATCGGGTAGGTGCTGATTTCATAGCTGGTATATTTTATCAGTGTCCTGATACGCTCTTCTTTTATTCCCCTACCTTTGAAAGGTAGAACTTAGAACTGTACGGCACAGGACTAGGTCATGAACGTGACGCCAAATTAAACTAAACCCTTCTCCCTGCCCTTGGTCTATATCCCTCCATTCCTTGCATGTTCATGTGGTTGTCTAAAAGTTCCTTAAATGCCCTTGTCATATCTGCTTCCACCACCACTCAGGCAGTGCATTCCAGACTCCTACCACTCTCTGTATGAAAACCTGTCCCTTATGTCTCCTTTGAATTTCCCCCCTCACCTTAATTGCGCGACTCCTAGTATTAGATATTTCAGTTCTGGGATAAAGATTCTGTCTGTCAACCCCGTCTATGTGTGTCATAATTTTATATACATCTATCAAGTCTCACCTCAGCGTCTGCTGCTCAAGAGAAAACAACAGTTTTTCTAGCCTCTCCTTTATAGCTCATATGCTCTAATCCAGGCAGCGTTCTTGTAAACCTCTTCTGCATCCTCTCCAAAGCCTCCACGTTCTTCTTATAATACGGCAACCAGAATTGAACGCAATACTAAGTGTGGCCTAACTAAAGTCTCATAAAGCTGCAGCATGGCATCCTGACTCTTGTACTCAATTCCTCTACTAATAAAGGCCAGCATACCAAATGCCTTCTTTACTGCCCTATTTACTTGCGTGGCCACTTTCAGGGAGCTATGGACTTGAACCCCAAGATCCTTCTATACTTTATGCTGTTCAGAGTCCTGCCATTAACTGTATAGTTTTCCTCAACGTTTGGTCTCTCAAAGTGCAGCATCTGTTACCCAGATTACACTTCATCTGCCATTTCTCCACCCATATCTGCAACTGATCTATATTCCGCTGTATCCTTTGACCACATCTATCCACAACTCCACTGACCTTTTGTATCATCTGCAAACTTACTAACCGACCCATCTACATTTTCATCCCAGTCATTTATGTATACCACAGGTCCCGGTATGGATTCCTGCAGAACATCACTAGTCACGGACCTCCAACCTGAAAAACACCTTTCCACCACTACCCTCTGCCTTCTATGGGCAAGCCAGTTCTGAATCCAAGCGGCCAGGTCACCGTGGATCCCATGCATCATAATCTTCTGGATGAGGGATCTTTTTGAAAGCCTTACTAAAATCCATGTAAATGACATCCACTGCTCTATCCTCATTGATCACCTTCATCACCTCCTTTGAAAAATTCAGTTGTTAGTAAGACCTGACCTGCCCCGCACGAAGCAATGCTGACTCTTCCAAATTAGGCCATGCTTTCCCAAATGTGCATAAGTCTTATCCTTAAAAATTCTCTCCAGTAGCTTCCCAACCACCAATGTAAGAATCACTGGTCTGTAGTTTCTTGAATTATCCCTATTTCTCCTCTTGAACAGAGGAACAACATGAGTTACTCGCCAGTCATAGAGTTATTGAATCCCTACAATGTGGAAGCAGGCCATTTGGCCCATCAAGTCCACACCAACCGTCTGAAGAGTATCCCACCCAGACCCACCCCTGTATCCCTGCATTTCTCATGGCTATCCCACCTAGCCTCCACATACCTGGACTGTGGGAGGAAACCAATGCAGAAACAAGGAGAACGTGCAAATTCCACATAGACAGTCGCCCAGGCTGGAATTGAACCCGGGTCCCTGGCGTTGTGAATCAGCAGTGCTAACCAATGAGCCACTGCGCTGCCCCAGTGGTCAGCGAGGATAAAAAGACCTTGAAGGCCCCAGCAATCTCCTTTCTCGCCTCTCTCAGTAACCTGATGTCGATACCATTGAGCCCTGGGGACTTAGCCACCATAGTGCTCTTCAAGAGATCCAACATCATGACTTTCTTGATCTCAAAATGCCCTACGATATTAATGTGCTCCACACAAATCTCACTATCCTCCATATCCTTCTAGTGAATACTGACACAAAGTACTCATTTAGGATCTCGCCCATGTCTTCTGCCTCCAAGAACAAATTCCCTCCTGTATCCTTCTATGGTCCTATCTTCTCCCTGGTTATCCTTTTGTTTTTGATGTATCTATAAAATGCCTTGGGATTGTCTTTAATCCTACTTGCCAAGATCATTTCATGGCCCCTTCTTGTTTTCCTAATTCCTTGCTTGAGTTCTTCCCTACTTTCTTATATTCCTCATGGGTCCTGTCCGGTTTTAGCTTCCTAAACCTTGCATATGCTTCTTTTTACCCTTTTGACTAAATTCACAACCACCCTCATTATCCAAGAGTCCCTTTATATTGCCATCCTTGTCCTTCCTCCTTACTGGAACATGCTGGTCTTGAACTCTTCCCCAGCTGGTCTTTAAACAATTCTCACATGTCAATGTGGACTTGTCTGATGACAGCTCCTCCCAAATAACGCGCTCTAGTTCCTGCTGAATACTGACGTAATTTGCCCTCCCCCAATTTGGTACCTTCCTGCAAGCTCCTGACTTATCTTTATTTATAGCTATCTCAAAACCTAAGGAGCTGTGATCACTGTTTCCAAAATGCTGTCCCACTGAAAGGTCAGTCACCTGGCCAGTCTCATTAGCCTATACAAGGTTCAGTTTGGCTTCTCCTCTTGTTGAGCTATCCACATACTGTTTCAAGAAACCCTCGAGGATGCACTTAACAATTTCTTCCCCACATGAGCCACTTGCTGTATGGGAGACCCAGTCAATATTGGGGAAGTTCAAGTCACCCACTATGATATCTCTGTTTTTATTGCACCTTTAACCTGCCTCCATATTATGACTCAGTAGCTGTTGGGGAGCCTACAGTATAATCCCATCAGAGTGATTTCACCCGTCCTATTTTTGAGCTCTACCCATTTTGTGTCAGTGGGTGAGCCCTCCTGTGTGCCTTCTTTGAGTGCAGATGTAATATTCTCCCTGATCAGTAATGCAGCTGCCCACCTATTTGACCTTCCCCTCTATCTCATCTAAAACAACGAAACCCTGGAACATTGAGCAGCCAGTCCTGTCCCTCTCTCAACCAAATGTCTGTAATGGCCACAACATCATAGTTCCATGTACTGATCCAGGCTCAAAGCTCATCTTCCTTACCTATAATACTCATTGCATTGAAATAAACACACTTCAGCCCATCAGTACAATTGTGTTCATTTACCTGTCTCTGCCTGTCCTTGTTTCTGATTTACTGGTCTTAACATCTACCTTCTCCTCAATCCCTCCACTTGCTGACCTGCTGCCCTGGCTCCCAGCCCCCTGCTGCTCTAGTTTAAACCCTCTTGAGTAGCACTAGCGAACCTCCTTATGAGGATATTGGATGAAGCCATTTAACTCTGCCTATTGTCACGGTGTTGTGTTTTGGAAAGAGGAATAAAAACCAAAGGCACCCAGAAGAAACATTAGAACTTTGTGAAACTAAGAAGTTTACTATTTTCCAATCTGCATGCAAGCCCTTGGCACAAATTAATATATATTTGGAAACCTAACAGTCCAAAAAGGATGGGAAACAAAGGCTGTAATATTGGTGTTCTTCTGGGAATAGGAGTCAAATCACATGATTGGGGCTTTGCTCTCAATCCAGTTTGTGAACAAAGTATATTCAATGTTAACTGATTTCCATTCTCCAATAATAATAATGCCTTCTGAATAAAATAAAATGTAATAGAACTGCTGTTATCAACCATGATAGAGGGTTCCCTGGATTAACAAAATGAATCAGTTGATCAACTACAAACCTTAATCTTGATCATATGTGATCAGTATTCTGCTCTTGGTACTTGAGTATAAAGCAATAGCATTGAATATAATCGGTCTTGTATCGTGACATTAATTTAAATGCAAAGAGCTCTGATTCATGCTTATTGTTTACAGCGTGAATACGTTTTAAATAGACCTTTGATAAAACTTCTGGCAGTTGAGTGGAATTTGGACCAAGGAAATTCTAAGATATTTTAATATTCAGAAACATAAGCAGCTATGACAAAATCAATGCAAGGATATTGAAATGCAGAATAACTATCTTTAATGTGACATTGTCTTGTGAGAGTTAATGACTGACACTGCTGTGCTTGACTGGCAGATATCTGCTGACTCGTTATGCAGAGCCGCTGGGCCACCTTGCTGCTGCTTCCCAAGCTTGTAACTTCACACTCAGGTTTTTCCACTCCAACCAGAAAGATGTAAGTGTGGTATAAACTTAGACTGTGAATGGATTGCGTTGAAAGAGGTTTCTTGGCATTAGTCATTGTAGTTTTAAAATTTTTCCCCCGTAACGCCAAGCTGAATTGATGGTTGGAACAATACAATATACAAGTAGATTCCGTTTGTATGAGAATTTTTTTAAATGCAATTCTGTGAATGTAGGCATAATTTAAATTTCTTGTAACCGTTACTGAATGTCCATTTTCCCAACTTCTGATCAAGGGCCACACATCAAAAAGGATGAGTTTCAGCCTGTGTCAGTACCTGACATGTCTTACAGTATTCAAAATTTGATTCAAAACTTGAGGTTTTTTTGGCCTTGTCAGACTGAATTTAGCTTTTTTGATGTATGAAGGCACCTCAATTCATGAACATAATATTGTTTTAGGCTGCAGTGCTCTCTCTCCCTTTTGGTTTTTGTTATTTATGCAGTGCAATATCACCACATTAAAATGGCACAATAGTTTCAGGCATTGTGTTTTTTTAATATAGCTGTGAAATCTCTCTCCATCTCCCCTTCTCCCAAAAGTTGCAAATTGTGATGTAATATGATTCTGCTGACGGCCATCAAAGAGAGGTTTTGAAAGACTTGTCTTTGGCATCTAGTATCAGCGGGCAATCTGTTGTATCCACATGTTGTACCAGAAATGACTGAATTATCACAAACAGATAATCCGAAATTCAAACAAAAATTTCACCAGCCAGTTGCATCTCTATCTTGATTCCTGCTGCGATCATGTAACTTAGCTAGACCAAGAATTGAGTCCAAAACCATTCTAGTCAGCATTGCTCCCTTCCCTCAGCTCCCAGTTTGCACTGGGTTACTTGGTCTCAGACAGATTAGCAGTGGGAATGCTGCAGTTGGCCTTGGTGCTTCCAGGCTGGGGATGTAAACCCTCTTAAGCTTCCTGAATCTGATGTCTATCCAATGATAACCTTCTGGTAATTATGAAGATGTAAATGTAGACGAGGATAGGATTGTTTTGAATTGTGATCTCACGGTTAGCATGAGGTATGGTACCAATCATACTGTAGTAAGAGTCATTACTTTGAGGAGAAACTGGATTTTTCTCTAATGAAGCTTTCGTTAAGTTTTCAAGAAACATTTTGTTTTTTGGTGTCATGCTTGTCATAGGAATCCTTTTGAATGTGATGTTTTGCTTGATTTTCCAGACCTCTGAATACATAATTCAGGCATACAAATATGGTGCATTTGAGAAAATCCCAGAATTCATTGCCTTCCGGAACAGACTGAATAATTCTCTGCATTTCGCACAAGTTCGCATTGAACGTATGCTGTTAGATCTCTTCCTCGAAGCAAACATGTATGTGTGGCAGTACCAGACAGTATAATATTGGTAAAACAAGACTCGTGTTTACTACCTAATTTGTTTTGGTAGTCGATATCTTAAGCTATTTAGCCAATGCTTTGATATGAAATAAATGGCTGGGCATTTTTATTTTATTTTATCTTATTTGTAAAATGTATTTTGTTTTGCGTTTGATAAAACCTTTTTCTATCCTATGTTCATGTGCTGTATGAAAGCATATATTTGTCCATTCAATGCAGTCCTCACTCTATTTTTGAATGCAGTACCCTTGTAGCAGGAATGCATTGATGTCCTCTGGCCTTGCGTTCCACCAAAGTACTTTTTTTGTACTGTAGCTGAATATGTCTCTTCTGTAATCCTCATGTTACATTGAGCACATGTAACAGTAGAGGGTGGTGATTGGGATGGCATCTAATATTTGAATTTTTATCTTGTTTGCCTGCTTTATGAAGTTGGCACCTTTGCATAATTTCTGGCTTTATCTTCATCGCTCGCTGTTATTCTATATTAAAGTGGGAAACAGGGAGGTTGATAATGTAGTAGTTTCTGCAGTTTAATGTTTTGAGTCACGCATGGAAATTACAATATTCAAATATGCTATTTGGTTTAACAAATTCATGTTAGCCTTTATCCTTCAAGTGAGGACAACTCTCAGTTGCATGTTAGCTCTTTCTCCATATTTTCATATTTCCCCTTCTAGAACCAACAGCCTGGAAGAAAGTATTAAAGCAATGGGCCTATGTCCAGATGAGGATGATATTCCATGGGACAATCTACGGGATAACCGGGATCTGGCTGTTAGTATTAGCTGGGATCCAAAGGACAGGTAAAGAATTTTGTAAAATGCAATTTTAGCTATCTGATGATGAGGAAGTGATAATAAAAGGTAAGCCTAAGTAATGGTTAACTTCTATGGACATTTGAAGCATATAAGTATTTCTAATTCTGGGGACCGAGACCCTAGTAGTAAACGATTGCTTTCTCATTGTTTTAAATTCTTATGTAACAAGATGCAATATGTTTTTATATTATTCTAGTATTGCCACCCTTTCCCTCTGTACATCTTGGATGATGTCCACTCTTTGGCAAATGAGGCTTATCCATAACTTTAATCAAGAACAGCCTATCAGTGTTCATGGACCTATTCTAATTCATTTATCACCAAATCCTACCCACTGTGCCATTTACATCTTCACCTGTGTCTGCCATGTCTCTAATTTTCTTAACATCAAAGATATCAAAAGTTGAGGTGTTCTTTGCTAGCCTTGCAGCCTCCACAATATAGCACAAATTCCTGTCATACGTAGTAGTAGTCTTGCACTTTTCCTGTCAATTTCCAATGTACCCAAACAGATTGGTTAATTGATTACACTTGAATCACAGCCTTCCCCCCAGTGTATCTTTGTTCTCCATCTTTGTCATTCTGCTTGTCCCCTACTTCTCAGGTACTGCAGTATTTCTCACTGTTTCTTCTGTTCTGCCATTGGTGATCATTTCTTCAGTCACTATGTCCATGGTCCCTAGAAATTCCTAGAAAAATTCTTTTGACTCACCAACTCCTACCCTATTTTCATAAGGCTTTCTTATATATGTCTTTTACTATAGCATCACCTTTTTTCTAATTCGTGTTTCCCCTTTCCTCTCTTGTCTGTCATTCTCAGTGCCATTTTGGTGCTGAATGTTATAAAAATGAATCCAAGTATTTGTATTTGTTCCTGTATAGATTGTTAAACATTCTAAAGTGCAGAGAGAGTTAGGTAGTTATTTTTCACCAATGCGATTTAGATGCAAAACCAAATCAGATTGTTGACGTTAGAGTTCCCATTTTAATGATAAGGATCCTGTATGCAATACATTTCTAAAATAGATCATAGAGATCATAGATTAGTGCACAGATTTCAGAAGAATTCCTCTCTGGTGTGGTCACAACACAAGTGTGTTCCTAAACCATCACGAATTATAACTAAATAGGCCACCTTGTTCACTAAGATCGCAGCTAGCTGCCATGAGAAGGTAATAACGATACTTGCCTTTCTTTGTCAGTGAATACAAAAGCAAGGATACAATGGAGCTGTATTTAACGTTAGGCCACTGATGTAGGACTGTGTTGTAGTTCTGGCCATCACACTATAGGAAGGATGTGATTGCACTGGAGAGGTATAGAAGAGATTCACCAGAATGTTGCCTGGGCTGGAGTAATTTAGTTATGAAGGAGACTAGATAAGGTGCAGATTGGAGCAGAGAAGGCTGAATGGAGATCTGATTGAGCGTATAAAGTTGTGAGGTGTGTATACAGGGTAGAAAGGGAGAAACATTTCCCTTTCGTGGAGGGGACAGTAACCAGGTGGCAGTGTTTTAAGATAAGAAGGAGGAGGTTTAGAGGGGGGTTGAGGAAACAAAATTTCACCCAGATCATTTGTGGTATATAGAACTTGCTGCCTAAAGGGATGATAGAGTCAGGAACTTTGAAAGGCAACAAAAAAATTTACATGAGCACTTGAAATGCCATAGATACAAATGTAAGGGAATTGAAATAGAATGGGTATTTGATCAGTCTTCGCATGTTCGCAAGTCCTTTTTCTGTGCTGTAGAATCTCTGACTCCGAAATAGGAAAATATTGTGCATTTAGAGGTGAGCATATTTATGTAAGTTAATGTGTGAAAAGCTCTTTGTATTGTGGCATAGTGGTTATCATCATCATAGAATCCCTACAGTCTGGAAACAGGCCCTTTGGCCCAACAAGTCCACACTGACCCTCAGCATCCCACCCAGACTCATCCCCCTATAACCCACCTAATCTACACATCTCTGAACACTATGGGCAATTTAGCACGGCCAATCCACCCAGCCTGCACAATCTTTGGAGTGTGGGAGGAAACCGGAGCACCCGGAGGAAACCCATGGAGACACGGGGAGAATGTGCAAACTCCACAAAGACAGTCGCCCAAGGGTAGAAATGAACCAGGGTCCGTGGTGCTGTGAGGCAGTAGTGCTAACCACTGATCCACCGTGCTGCCCCTATGAGAGGTTGAGAAGGAAAATCCTTCATGGTAACCTCAGCTGGTGCTGGAATTGAACCCACGCTGTCCGTCTCATACTGGTTTGCAGACCAACCATTTGGCCAGCTGAGCTAAACTGACCCCAAAAGGGCAGGCACCGCTGGGATTTGAACCCCAGATCTTCTACTTATGAGGCAGGCACTTTAGCCAACTCAGTCACGGCACCGCTTAGCACTGCTACCTCACAGTGCCAGGAACCCAGGTTCAATTCCAGCCTTGGATGACTATCTGTATAGAGTTTGCACGTTCTCCCTGTGTCTGCATGAGTTTCTGCCAAGTGCTCTGGTTTCCTCCTATAGTCCAAAGATGTGCAGGTTATGTGGATTGGCTATGTTAAATTGCCCCATAGGTCCAGGGATGTGCAGGCTATGTGGATTAACCATGGTAAAAGTGTGGGGATAGGGGTGGGACGCTCTTTTGAGGGTCGGTGAAAACTTGGTGGGCCGACTGACCTCTTTCTGCACTGTAAGGATTCAGTGATTCTTGAACTTGCCCAGAAAAATGCTGTTGTAACTTTTTCCCTTTCAATTGTGGTAGGGAGTTGTCAGAAGGGGAAAGGAAATCTTCAATGAAAGAGGAGAGAATATGGCTTCAAGTTCGCTCATTGACACTGCGTCTGGTCTGTGCACTCTCTGCTGTTAGCCATACAGTAGAGCCAAAAAATTCCGAAAAGACAACAACAAATGGTGTCACTTCTAAAATTGAGACGCTGCGCTCTTTAATTCAACAGCTTGAATGTGTGGTACAGTCTGAGAAGAAAAAAGACAAACTAACTGCTAAGGTACAGTCTATAATAAAAGCAAATATGTTTTGGTTTGAAAAGAAGTTGCAACTCAACACACAAGATCAATGTTTTTGATACCACCCATTTTGGCTTAGTTGACAAAAAATACACTTTGATATCTTACAGAACAGAAAGTTCATGTATTCAGTCTCTTGTCTATACAATGAGTGATAGAAGTTTGAAATTATTTTCCGCAAGCAGCGGTTGTTACTGAATAAGTTATTAAATCTATCAATCTCAGTTTTAAAATTTGGTTAACCAAGGATATTACAGCCTATGAGCAAAAGCAGTGATATTAAGTTAGTCCACAGATATCCATGATTTCATGAAATCACTAAATAGGGGTTAAAAAGCCAACTTCTATTCCAGTTTGTCATTTGATTTCGCTCAGACAATGGTGTTAAAGGTGCGATATTGGCTAAGCAGAATAGTTGGCAGTGTTCTTTCTCTTGATGTATCTCCTTCATCTTGTGCTGCAGTTGAATGGTTTATAAGCTAAACGAGTGCTGCCAGAAATGATGAAAGGAGGTATGAAGTAATGTAGCCTTATAAGGGTCACTATAAACATGGTCAAAAAATATGCAGAGCATTTGTCAATTATTATTTATTGTCAAAACTGCATTTGGAGTTGGGAAAACCTGGAGATATTAGGTGGCCACAACCAATGACATAGTAATCATTGATTGTTGAAGAACTGGGCTGCCATTGCCCTGTTCATTCTTGATTAGGACCTGCAGCTATCTCAGCTTAATATAACAGCTCTTGCTTGCTGCCCTTCCTATTTAATAGGAATGCCAGTGACCAAGAAGTTTGCACTGACTGTAAAAATGAATGATCTCACTTTATGTTTCCACAAGTATTAGGATATTTGTATTATTTTTTAATGTATTATTTCAGGCAATTTTTTTCTGACCAGGCTGGTATTTTTCTGCCATCCGTAATTGCCTTTGAAAATGTAGTGATGAGTCGCCATCTTGAGCAATAACACTGCCTGTGTTGTAGGTGCACCCACAGTGCTATTAGGAGTTCCAGTATTTTTACTGAACAACACTGGACATGGTGATATTGTTCCAAGTCAGGAGATTGCGTGATTCAGAGGGGATCTTTCAGGCAGTGTGTTCTGATGTATCTGCTGTCCTATCCTATGGTAGAGTTTGCACATTTGGAAGGAGGCTTGACAAGTTGAAACAGTGCATTTTGTGGATGGTACAAAGTTGTGCCACTGTCATCGCAAGTGGACAAAATTGGTGTTTAATGTGGTGGCTGGGATGCCAGTCAAGCAGGCTGCTTTGTCCTGGATAGTCTTGAGCTTCTTGGTTTGTTAGTTCTGGACTCTTCAGTGCTTAGTAATCTATCAAATACCTGACTTGGGCCTTGCCAATAGTGGACAGGTTTTTGGGAATTAGGAGGCAAGTTACTCACTACAGACTTGCCGGCCTCTGACCTGCTGTTGCAGCCACAGTATTGTTATTACCCAGTTAGTTCTGGTCAACAGCAGCACCAGCATTTTGATAATGGGAGATTCAGCATTTGTGTGATGTGGATATTATTTGCCGTTCATCAGCCCAGACCAGAATGTTGTCCAAGTCTTGCTGCATAATAGTACAGTCCAATTCAGTTATCTGAGGATTTGCAAATGTACTGTATCTTTTCCCTCTATCTGATGATTGCACAGTCATTGATAAAACAGCTGAAGATCATTGGGCCTTGGACAATGTCTTGAGAAACCTGACATGATATTCTGGAACTGAGATGGTTGTCTTTCAACAATACAATCATATTCAATTGTGTTAGGCATAACTCCAATCAGTGTAGGGTTTTATCAACTGATTCCCATTAACTTGGGTGACATGGTAGCTCAGTGGTTAGCACGGTGGCCTCAGCGCCAGGGACCGGAGTTCGATTCCAGCCTCAGCAACTGTCTGTGTGGAGTTTACGCATTGTACCCGTGTCTGTATGGATTTCCTCCAGGTGCTCTGGTTTCCTCCCACAGCCCAAAGATGTGTGGGTTAGGTAGATTGGCCATGCTACATTGTCCATAGTGTCCAGGGATGTGTAGGCTGAGTGGATTTGCCATGGTAGGTGCTGGGTGATAGGGTAGGGGGCTGGGTCTGGGTGGGATGCTCTTCGGGGGTTCGGCGTGGGCCAAAGGGCCTGTTTCCACACTGTGGGGATCTGATCTAAACTTCAGTGTTTCTTGGATGCTGCATTCTGTCAAATGCTGTCTTGATATCATGGACAATCACTGTCACCTTGATGGGACCAATGGATGGGTAAATGCAGGAAACTGCTAACAAGTCCCTTGTGACAAATCCAATCTGGCAAATGGCAGGCTTTCAATTACCAATGTGAGAGTAGTATAGCTAACAGATTCAGAACAATCCAGTCCCCTGCACAGCCAGCCTCCATCAATGAGACCTCAGTTTAAGCCCATTATGCTCTTGTGGAGAGTCACAAACAGTACTGCACGTTATCAGGGTCTATCTCTTCTACAGCCTAAGTGGTGGTCTAATATAGACTCAGAAAATGTGGAGACAGCAGCTTGGTTCCAAAATTTGCATTTGCTTAATAAATAATCTTGCATCTGAATGGCTCTGGCAGAACCCAAATTAAGCATTAGTGAGCAAGTTACTCTCTGTAAATGCCATTTGATAGCAGCATCAACTGCACCTTCTGTCACTTTTCTGATAATTTAGAGTCAGCTGATGGGGCACTAATTGCTTGTTAATTTTCCCCTTTTATGGATGTTACAGAATGTATTGTGTACAACGCCATGACCTTAAAATTTACAAAGCGTTTTTTTGGAAAAATAATTGAGAAAGTTTCATGACAGCATTTACTACATGCGCTGAACCAAAACATAAATTATGTGGCTAGCACTGACTGCCAACTTTTTACAATTGGGATGGTCTGGGAGAGCAAGAGGACCCTTTCATGCATATTGCAGTGTTTTAGTTGGGCTTTTTGTGAATTATATGGATTGTGTCATCTTTGGCTTGGTTGCTAGTTCACCCACCTGATTCTTCAACGCGCTGCTGAGGCAGATTAGTGTCAGCTGTCATCTTCCCAATAAAACATGAAACCAGTGACCCATCTGTCTGTCCAGGTACAAGTAAAGGATCCCATGGCACGAAAAATAAAATAAGGTAGTTATCTTTGGTGTCCTTGACAATATTTGTCCCCAAATCAGTATTACAAGAGATTGTTTGGCCATTATCATATTGCTGTTGGTAGGAGTTTGAGTGAAATTTGGTCGCCATGTATCTTGCATTATAACAGCAACTACGCCTCATTGACTGTAAAGCACTTTTGAGACACTGAGTGGTTGTGAGAAGTGCTAATTAAATGCAAGTCTCTGTCTTTTATTAGAATGGCAGCTAACAAAGCAGTTTTCTGTTTTTAATATGCTAATATGATGTCTAGATTTTTAAAACGTTTTAATTTAATCCAGGAAATTAGTGTGAAAATTAATGTTTACTTTGACCTGTCCACAGTTCCTCATCCAGGGACCACCTCCAACACGTATGACAACCTATCTGGAAAGCAACAGTTGTCGTTGTCAGATTAATGCTTTCCATCTGGTCACTGATATGTATGAACTGGATGTCAGTGGATTAGGTAAGAAACTGAGGTACAATCAAATGGAGAACTTCACTACTTGATTAATTGTTCAAATGTTGAAACCTGGAACTTGTGAAGTTTAATATCAAATCTAATAGAACGTTTGGCCAGTATTATGTGAGACCAAATCATCCAACTTGTATCATCATCAATTAATGAGCTCTATGAAAAATAAAATATATGGCTTCTCAAAATGCTCAGTTGAAAATAGACTTGACCACTGAACTATACCATACAAATCAAAAATGCTCCAGCAACAATGTGGACAGCTTTCAATAATGTATTTCAGTGTGTGCATTTCTTCCCTTTAGCTAGCAATTGCAGCCTGACTGGAAACAGCCACCATTTGAAAATTGTTTTGTGAGCATGAAGAGTGCATCACAATTAGGCAAAATAAGATTCAGCAAGATTTACTTCAAGATTCTGTAGACTCAGGAACAGTTCCTACAGATTGGAGGGTTACTAATGTAAACGCTCTACGTAAAAAGGAGTTAGAGAGAAAATGGAATTATAGGCTAATGAGCTTCAAATCAGTAGTGAATAAAATGTTCGAGTCCATTCTCAAATATTTAATAGCAGAGCACTTGGCAAACAGTGACAAGATTAGACAGAGTCTGCGTAGACTCATGAAAGGGAAATCATTCTTGGTAGATCTACTGCACCTTTCCAGTGCAGGCATTTCCTGGGTTGCGAACAGGTTCCATTCTTGAGTCCGTTTGCAATTCAATTTGTCCACAAGTCGAAACACAATGCAGAATGCTATAAAGCAGCTAATGTATTTGTAATTCAGGCATTCGTAATTCAGAGATACCCGTAGTAGAGTTGATAAGGGGGAGTCAGTGGATGTGGTTTACTTGGACTTTCAGAAGGCATTGAATAAGATCCTACAAGAGATTCCCATTTAAAATTAAAGTATGTGGGATTAGGGGTGGTGTACTGACATAGAGAACTGGTTAACCGACAGGAAACAGACTAGGAATAAATTTTCCGAGCAGCAGCCAGTGACTAGTGGAGAATCACAGGGATCAGTGCTTAGACCCCAGCTATTCACAATATATATTCATGGTTTAGATGAAGGAATTAAGTAATAACTCCAATTTTGCAGAAGACACAAGCTGGGTAGACAGATGAGCTGTAAAAAGAATGCACAGCTACTTCACTGAGATTCAGACAAGTTGAATGAGAGGACAAATGCATGGCAGTCTAAATATGGTGTCAATAAGTGTGCAGTTATCCACTTTAGTAGCAAAAGTAGGAAGGCAGATCGTTATCTGAATGGTGATAGATTGGTAAAGAGAGGTGCAACAAGACCCGAGTGTCCTTATACACAAGTCACTGAAAATAAGCACGTAGGTGCAGCAGCAAATAAAGGTAAATGGGATGTTGGGCTTCATATCAAGAGGATTCAAGTATAAGAGCAAGAATGTCTTGCAACAATTATGTGGGGCCTTTGTGAGAGTACACCTGCGGTGTTGTGTGCATATTTGGTCTTCATATATGAGAAAGGATGTTCTGGTTGTGGAGGAAATGCAACCAAGATTTACCAGACTGATACCTGGGATGGCAGGACTGACGGATGAAGAAAAACTAGATTAGTTAGGACCATATTCACTGGAGTTTAGAACAACGAGAATGAAGCATATAAAATTCCAACGTGATAAACGGTAAATGCTGGAAGACTGTTCCCAATGATCGGGAAGTCAGACCAGGGGTCACAGTCTAAGGATACTGAGTAGGCCACTTAGGACTGGGACGAGAAGGTTCTTCACCCAGAGCCTGTGGAATTCTTTGCCACAGAAAGCAGTTGAGGCCAAAACTTGAATATTTCAAGGGGTTAGATACAGTTCTTTGCTAAAGATATCAAAGGGCATAGGGAGAAAGCAAGAGCAGCGTACTGAGTTGGGTGTTCAGCCATGATCATATTGAATGGCAGAGTAGGCTCCAAGGGCCGTATTGCCTACTTCTCCAACTATTTTGTGTGTTTCTAAGTAACCTGCAAGTTGCATTAGTCTTGATGTCATCAATTGCTGAGGGTTTGCTGCTTTTTTGTGCATAGAATGGCTGTCACTAGTGAGACCAGTGTTTATTGCTCATCTATTATTGCCCTTGAGAAGGTGACAGTGAGCTGCCACTTTTAAACCTTGCAGCACACACGATACAATACTTCTATGGTGATATTAGCGGGGAATATCCAGGAGTTTTACTCAGCGAAGGAATGATGTTTTTTTCAAGTCAGGATGGTGTATGCCTTGGAGGGGAATTTGCAGATGGTAGTGTTCTATGCACCTCTTGCCTTATATTTCCAGATGATAGAAGTCACAGGTATAGAGGTTCTGTCATAGAAGCCCTTAGTGCCTAATGACAATGGATCTTGTATGTGGTACACACTGCAGCCATATTGCACCAGTGGTGGATGCTTCTTCCTTGAAGTGCCATGGGATCTTTTACTTCAACCTGAGCACTCAGAAACAATCTTGGTTTAACATCTTGTTGAAAAGATGTCTCCTTTGACGTTGTTGCACTTGAGCGTGTGCAGAAAGGAATTCCATCCCAGAACCTGAAGACTTGGAGGCAAGTATGTGATCAAATGAGCCACAGCTGATACTCTTAGTTAATCATCCTGGATAGTGGCAAACTGCTTGAGTTTGTTGGCACAGGGCTTGAAAGTGGGGTATATACCAGTACACTCCTGACTTGCATCTTGTCGATGTTGAAAAGGCTTTGCGAAATCAGGAGGTGTGTCATTCATCACAGAATATCTTCTGACCTGCTCTTGTAATGACAGTGTTTATGTAGCTGGCCAAGTAACGTTTCTGGCCACTGGTGATCATTTAGTAATTCTTAAAGATTCAGCCTACTCACTCACATGTAGAATTAATGATTATGTACCATAAACAAATGAATTCTATGCAGTCTTTGGTGTCTTTGGTTTAATTGCTATGTCATAGCATCTGTCACATCGATTTGGGTTCTTCTAATGCTAAAATACCGTGGCCGTGATCCTTGTTTAAACTCGCATGTAAAACTGACTCCTTGGGAAAGGTAATAGAGGATGGTGTGAAACCATGTCTAGCAAAATTTAGAACCTTCATCAGGTTGGGGGAAAATGAAGATGGAGGAAGTCAGTCTTCAGAGGAGAAGTTATTGAAATATTTTTAGCTCAGCACAGCCTTTCTGTTTGTGATTCCATCCTATGCTAATGGACTGTCTTATGTACTGAGCCCAATTTGTGCTGTTTCTTTAAGTCTCCACCTACAGGATTTGATTTAAGCCCTGAAATACCTCATCAGAGAAACCTTCAGTTGGAAACTGAAGCATTCAATATTTGAGTTGATGGCCAAATGTATAATCCACCTAGCAGTAAATGGGCAGCTCTTTGCTATTGTTCTGAGCGGTATACCCCTGCTGTTCATTTGGCTGAAATTATTCATCTCAATAAAATATGTAATGTGTCTGGGATGTACTCAGCAGATGACGTGAGACAGTAAAGAGTCCTGCAGTATGCTTTTACTTCTACAAATGCATTAAGTGAAATGTATCTTGCGGTTAAGTCCTTCAGAAATAATTCCTAGTTTGCATTGTGAAGACAGACTGCTCAGGTGAAGGAAGGCGGCTTTGAGGTCAGTGATTAGTTCTGATATAACTGAATGGCAGAACAGACTTGACAGGTTGAATGGCCTAACCCTCTACCTGTGTTCTTAGTGCGTTTTCATTAAACTGTAGAAATTGATAGCACAGAAGGAGGTAATTCAGCCTGTCTGTGCCTGTTAGCTTTTATTTTTATTATTATTATTGAGACTTCTCTACTTTTAAACCCCACAGATGAAACACTGGATATCCAGGAGAGGATAGCAAATAATTTTAAATCTTTGTTACAACAGTTACAAGGTAATGCCAATATTCCACAAATCTTAGTTCTGCCTTTTCTGTTTTATTGCTGTGTACTTGTTTTACATTGTATCTGTAACTGTGCTGTTTTACTACCTTCTCTGCAAAATAAATATATTTGGAGGCAAACAGAATTAGCTGAATTCTAGTGAGCAATTTTGCACAAAGAGACTGGAACTCCCTCTCCAACAGCAATGGAGATGTACCTTCACCACATGGACTGCAGCAAAACACCCTTCACCATCATCATTCCCTTGGTGCTACTGAGATCGGCACTAAACTTCAGCTTGACATTCCTCAACATGAAGAATGATGTGGCAGCCAGTTGTGCAGTGAGAATGTCACTCGACTAGTAATCCAGTAACCTTGGGTTATAATCTAAAATAACCAGAAGTTATAGGTTCAAATCCCACTTCCAAAAATGGTGGAGTTAAAATTGTTAAATCTGGAATATAATGCTAGTCTCAGTAATGGTGTCATGAAACTGCCAGCAGTTGTAAAAAAGCTATCTGGTTCACTAGTGTCCTTCAGGGAAGGCAATCTGCCATCCATACCTGGGCTGGCCAACATATGGTTTGAGATCCACAGTGAGGTAATTGTCTCTTGACTGCCTTCTGAAATGGCACAAGCCATTTGGGTTCAGGGCAGTTAAGGATGGGCAACAGATACCCTTACCAACAGCCCTACATCCCATGAAAGTATAAAGAATCTTTTTTTAAATTTCTTCCAAACAACGTCAATGCTTCTGCTGAAAAGTTCTGTTGGTATGCCATTGTTGTTGGTGCTCACTCATTAGCCGAGTGTGCTGGAAGCTGATCCCTTTTATCATTATAATTCTTTTGCAATTAAGTGAGTTTGAACTAGGCACCTTTTTTTTTTTTGAAAATCTGACTGTAGTCCAACAACTCTCCTTCAAAAATATTTTAGCCATCATTAGCAGTTTCTTGAGTGTCACCTCCAGAGTAGCAGGAGAGCTATAATTTTTCACAAGTTTCTCTGAGTTGAGGAAGAGAAAAATCAGTCTGAATTCTTGATGGTTATCCTCTTTCTCTCACGCGAGTTGGAAAGCTTTCCAGCAGTGACTTCTCAACTTCAGTAACTTAGCTGCTGCACTTGTAGAAATAATCTTTTGTGCTTAAACGAATCAGCACTTTCAGGAAGTAAGGAGATAATACAGTATTTTGAGGGGATAAAAGAAAATGGTTTCATTTGCCCTAAATCTAAATGAGGTAAGTCAAAATGAGAAGTGAGTCTGCAATGTTTGGGAATTTCTACACTTATCTTCTGAACTTGCATAAAAACAATAGGACTAAGAGTTTGCTACATGTGAGGGGCATCATTTGTAACATCTGTTTTTTTTTTACCTCTTCAGAATTATTCAATAAATGTAAAGGAAATTTATTGGAAACCAAGGAAACAGAATGTACAACAAAACCAGAACTCTTAGAAAACCTTGTCTTTTTACTTGAGGTAAGCAGTCACAAAGCTGCTTTCCATTTATTGTTTAATTTTTTAAAAAGAACATATTGTGTTGACTTGATTTAGCCCTTTGTTTTAGAAATAATAATATTGTGCAGGTTCCTTGATTTATATTACATCTCGTGAACACTGAAGGAGTATGGTTACAATTTAAATGAAAACTATTTGGATTTACTGTTACTCAGACTGTGTATGCCATCTTCTGTTGTACAATCCAAATTTCACTCTTTGGCAGGATGTATAGGCGCTATGCTCCCAGACAAGTGCCAATGCTAACCTTGTAAGTTATGAATAAATACTCCACTTATCATTAGGAATATCCCTTGGGGGAAAATGAGTTCAGGTGAGGAGGTTAAATTGAGCTCATCATTCCCTGAACTGACAATTGTTCAGAGATAGTAGGAACTGCAGATGCTGGAGAATCTGAGATAACAAGGTGTAGAGCTGGATGAACACAGCAGGCCAAGCAGCATCAGAGGAGCAGGAAAGCTGACGTTTCGGGCCTAGACCCTTCTT